AATGAATCTGCTACCCAATCTTCCTAAATTCATATTTGTTTACGACCTTAACACTCTAGGGCAGGGACTATAATCGTAAATATTGGGCCCAGTCTGACATGTGTACAGTGAAATTTGCAGATAAATCAGATAAAAATTATACAAAGAAAATTCAATTAGTTAATTTAATTTACATTTTTACGCACTTTTTTGAAAACTACAGTTATTTACACATGATAAAAATTTTAACACAACTAAAATGCTGTTGAAAACAATTTAACAGTTTTTATGACTCAATAATTGTTTCATTTCTAAGTCTTTTGTTTGAAGATCTCCATAAAATTTTTCACTTAGAAATATTATTCCTCATTATAACGCAATTAAAATAAATTTTCAATCAAAATGAATAAATCTTATAAACTTTTCAAAAATGTTGAAGTTTAAAAACATGAAATATAAAAAACAATTGACATATTTCGACATAGGAAAAAATTTCAATCTGAAGTTAGAAATTTCGGTATTGTTTACCTTTTTTTTTTCCTGTTTTTCTTAATGAAACATTGGACATTTTTTGGTGCAAGACTTCAGTACTGTTTTGATTTAACTTTATTTATTATTTATTTTTTTCAATTATTTTCATGCCAATAGCAAAATATTCGTAAATAAAAAATTTTAAAATTTACTGAAGTTGGGAATTTATTTATTTTTCCATTATCTTGGATTTGCACAGTTCTGTCAACACGACTCTGACAGCGTAGCTCCCCATTATCATAATCAGTCTCAAGAATATCAGAAAATTCAAGATTATTTTCAATTTTGCTATTAAAATGCCATTTAATTTTATAATCATGAAGTATATCGAAATTATTATTAGAACAAAAGTACGTATCAAAATAAATAAAATCATTAATTATCAATATAAATACCATTAAAAAATCAAAACTGTATTTTAGATAAATAAAAACATCGGAAAAAATTGTTTCAAAAATTTAAAAACAATAAATCCAATTTAATAACAATTTCATCCCCCCCCCCCAAATCATATATTCTCTTTAATAGATGGAATCCGTTTTTAAATACGCATTCACTGTGAAGAACCATAGCCCTTAATTAATATTTTTATATGTTTGACAAATATCACAAAAGTATATATCACAAAAGTTATACTAATGTAACGCGCACAAGCGAATAGAATTTCCTTGAAATCACTTTTCCTAAGGATTTTTATTCTTTCAAAGCATTTTCTTTTATTAAAGGAAACTTATAGAAGAACATTTTGTTAAACCATCAATAATAAGAACAAGTCGATAACAAATAGATCCTCCATTACTTTTTAATGATCGCGAAACAATCATATAACATTGGCAGTAATTCAGAAAGATGCTCTTCACTAATTGTTGATATTTTTTATTTATTTATTTATTTATTTATTTATTTATATTATTATTATTTTTTTAATAATGCATCTACGGTCATTGATCTCAAACATTGGCTATGACTTAGTTTTATTCCTCGACAATTCCTCTCAACAGCTCCATTCTTCAGGTAAGTGTCGGCGCTCTTTTTTGTGACATTGTTTTTAATTTTATTTATATATTTGTTAAGTAACTTGCATTTTATTAATCCAGCGCCCTCTTCCTTCAAGTGTCACACCCTACTGGCTTATAAGGATTGTTGTCGGGTGAGCAGGACAAGCAGGAACAGGATTTAAAAACAGCAAATTAATTTTATTTACCTCAGTGGCGTAGTGAGCTTAACTCGCGCCCGGGGCACAATACCTTTTTAGCGCCCCCCCCCCTACTCGAAAACCATATAATATTATACGTAAAATATACTCGCAAATCAATAAATATGTATATAATCATCTAGAATTAGTTCAAAAGATACCTATTATTTATTTTATATATTTATAAAGAAATATTTTAAAAACACGCAGTTTTAAAACAATAAAAAGTAAATATTTATTATCTCTAAGGAGATACGTATTTTTAACAATAGTATGATTATAATACATTTATAAAACTAAATACTATGTATAAATTTTCCTTACTTTTGATGAAGCAAATTTATTAATAATATCATCAAAGGTGATCATTTCAAATTTTTCTCCTTCCACATTTAAAAATGCTAGGTCACTTAGGCGATCTTGTCCCATCTTTGGTCGTAGATATGTCAAAATTAATTTTAATTTNAGTGAGCAGGACAAGCAGGAACAGGATTTAAAAACAGCGAGAACAGGAGATACTAATAGGTCGTGAGCCGAAAACAAATTTAAGAAAATTAATATTACTATTTACGTAAAGAATAAGGTTTGCCACGTTTTGAGTTTTATCCCTTATTTGGCTATAATTGTGTTAAATATCGGTTTTTGGAAGTATGCTTGCGAGGTCTTCCAAATGCATTTCTTTCATTGAAAGTTGAATTGAAAGAACGCGTAAAATTGTGAACACTACAAGTATACTAATATTGCATGGCGTGCTTTTCCAAGTGTATGCGTAACCCGGAAGTCTTACCGCTAACTTTCATCCCTAGCGCCACCCGTACCTAACGACGTCGTTAGCTATGTACGGTCAACCATTCATGCAAAATAAACATAAGCAATCAAATAAAATAAAACAATATAAATTGATAAAAAAACAACTTTCATACCTAAATTTTTTGAACATTTCTGCTTAGATGACTCTCTATAATTACAAGTCATCTCTGACAAGGTGAAAAGGTATTGCAGTGATAAGTTGCTTCAGAATGACGCAATACTCAGAAAAAATTAGGGAAAATTTTGGAGTTTTAAGGCCATTCTGAGGCAGCTTTATGGATGAAAATTTTTTCCCACCTGGTTAGAGAACTGGCTATTTTTTTCTTTTTTTTTCATTTTATTACTTTAAGAGTCTAATTTCGTCAACATGTAACAATTGATTTACAAATGTATAGTTAAAGAATAGTTATATAGTTATATGTTATATAGTTATATATATAGTTACATGTTGTTTGCGTTATACATCTTTTTCTTCAACGGGTATCGGAAATGATTGTTCCTGCTGCAGGACATTCTAGGGTGAGTGGTTATAGAGGTTTAGGTACCACTCATGATTGTGGGTGTTCAATAATCGAGGAGGACTAAATTAAAATACACAGTCACGCTAGTTCAATAAATTTTGCACATGAAAATTATTCTTCAGTCTGCTAAACATCTTTGAAAAGATAAATCTACTTCTTGATTTTACCTTTCTCAAGTTTAAATCTATGATAATTCATGAGAATTTTCTTTATTTTTCTGAAATATCGAGGATTTAGAAAGATTTCTTATTATTGAGAAGATACATACCTACTCTCCCCCTCCCACGAACGATACCCACGACTCCACAATTTTATGAACCAACGCAATGGTAATGTGGCCAGCATTACGCACAGTGCTGCTTATACTTCCCAGACTTATACTTTCCATCGATTTAAAACTGACTGGATTATTGGCCGCCACTGAGGATCGAACCACAATCCTTCAGAATGACAATATATTGCCTTTAATCACTAAGCCACCGAGGCTCACAAATGAAAGTGAATTTATAATATTATTCATATAATTACCATATGTGTCTTTATTATTACAAAAACTATTACTACTTGAATAGGGAGGAAAAACATCCACGGTAAAATAGAATTAATAAAATGCTTTGTCACTTTTTATAATGTTGATTAAGTAACTGTGATAAGTTAATTTCCAATTTTGAAGATTTTTTTTTAATTTATTATTTTTTTTACAGAAAATATGTCAGATATCGGTCGATTCAGAATACGATTTTTCACCCCGATGTGTACAGGCGTACATCAACGTCTGTGATAGATCATCAATAGAAATAATGCGAACGTTCTGGAGAACTCTGGATTTTTAATAAAATTTGGGATGGTTCTAGTAGTTCATTTACGTCGCACTAGAGCTGCACAATGGGCTATTGGCGACGATCTGGGAAGCATCCCTGACGATGATCCAAAGACATGCCATCACAATTTTGATCCACTGCGGAGGGGATGGCACCCCCACTACGGTAGCCCGACGACCTGCAGGCGAAGTCGAGCACTTTACGGTAGAACAGTTTAGCGAGGACCAATACTGCACACCCTCGGTCCCTACGCAGTCTGATCCAAGTGGTCACCCACCCGCACACTGACCGTAGCCAGTGATGCTTGACTTCGGTGATCTGCTGGGAACCTTGTCTTAACGATCAGTCCACTGCGGGACCTTTATGAATCTGTTAGGGTCTATTTGTATTATTATGATTTTATTTGCATTTATTTTGTAATTTTAAATGCATAAAAGTATGATTTTATAATGTTGAATATTAANCAGTGGACTGATCGTTAAGACACGGTTCCCAGCAGATCACCGAAGTCAAGCATCACTGGCTGCGGTCAGTGTGCGCAGTGCCGTTCCTGGCGGGTATGCAGCGAGTGCCCCGCACGCAGGCGCCCAATTTAAGGGGCGCCAAATTCAACTATTCAACTATATACATAGTATATAGGGCGCACAAAATTATTCTTGCACGCAGGCGTCCGCCACCCCAGGAACGGTACTGAGTGTGCGGGTGGGTGACCACTTGGATCAGTCTGCGTAGGGACCGAGGGTGTGCGGTATTGGTCCTCGTTAAACTGTGCTACCGTAAAGTGCTCGACTTCGCGCGCAGGTCGTCGAACTACCAAAGCGGGGGTGCCATCCCCTCCGCAGAGGATCTGAATTGTGATGGAATGTCTTCGGATCATCCTCCGGGATGTTTCCCAGACCGTCACCAATAGCCCACTGTGCAGCTCTAGTGCGACGTAAATTAACAACAACAACCACAAAATCCTTAGTTGGACAAAGAATAAAAATTAAAATTTTAAGGAATTTGCTTTTTATTTACTTATATATTTTCAGAAAATAAAGAAGTTGTCTATCCCAGAGACTCTATTCTCATTTCCTCAGGATCAAGCTGATAGGAATTTCGCAAGTGCTTAAATTTGATGCAGTGAGAATTACCAAAACTTCAGCGCCGAATGAGTTGAGCAAGCTTGGCATAAGCGTGATATTGTCAAGTTTGCAAAACAAAAACTAACTTTCAGAATCTGAAAACTCTTCTGTATGTTTATATTTACAACGAAATGAGACTGTACCTAATATTTCAGAAATATGTTTACCTTACTGCGTGGTTTAAATCAAAATCTTCAGTACGTTGACAGAAGAAATAACAATCTTAAAGACATTCCGGATGAAATTTTAGCATCAAAAAACTTAGAGGAATTACTTTTGGATTCCAATCACATCAGACAGTTGCCTAAGGTATAAATTTTTACTTATTCTTTCTTATTCGTTTTTCTAACAAAAAAAGGAAAATTAAATAAAACAAAGCACTTTATAATAGATCCTATAAAGTTCATCTTGTTTAATATTTTTTTTGATTTTGATTGAATAAATAAAGTATTTGTTTTAAAATAGCACAATTAAGTATTGGTTACAATATTTACCAGCCAGTCTTGTTTACTAAGTACTAAAAAATATGTTTCAATCTAATGCAAGTTTGTGTAAGTAACATACATTTTTTGTCATCCTTATCATAGTCTTCTTTCAATATAAGGGATTTCAGCTCTATCTTTCTATCATAGATTTTTGCAATCAAAAGGTTAAATTTTATTTTATAAAGATTTTTATTGTTTGAATTTACTTGAACAGATCTGTTCAAAAATATCCCTGCAAAGTAGAGTGTCTTTAGAGATATTTCTGTATTATTGGTATCTGTTCGCGTCAACTACAATTCCAAAGTCGCCAAAGAGATTTCAAATTTGTAAAAATTTAATATATATATTTATGTAGAAGAGTAATATTTTCGTATTGATATCTTCCACAGAATAATCGCCAAGGCTTGCCAACTTTTGGGCAGCGGCTCGTGCAAAACGAAAAAAATTATCGCAGGAGACCAACTTAAATAGTATAACTCATAATCATCCCTGGGAAAAGCTTAACATGTTTGTTTGTTTTTTTAAATACAAATTGCAAGTTTAAAATGTTTTTATGCCTTGGCAATTGTAGTTGACACGACAGATGTAAATATTCCTTGTTGAAGTTTGCTTGTGTGTGGTTACTAGTTATACCTTTTAAGCTGGTCCCCTTTTGTGATAATTTTTGAGGAAGATATTTCTGTATCTATAGATGTATTATAGCAATCAGCTGTAATTGCATAGGCGAAAAAGTACTACTAGCCACTTGAAGACACGCATACTATTGTACTTATAATACATAGAGAAAAAAAAAACTATATGTACATAGTGGTTTGCTGAGGAGTGGTTATGAGCTCCTTCTTTCTGTTTTAAATTGCCACTGTCTGGTAGTTGCTAAAGCTTGGTGACCATTTCCATGCAGGTACTAATACAGTAATTTTCCTATTTTTAAACTATGTAGCCTATGATTGTTACCACTTAAATGTTTTTCATTTGTAAACACCAACTTGAGTGTAATTTCTTCATAACAGAGTATTCTCAGTGTTAAGTGTAAATTCACTTTTTTTTTCATATTCTTGAATCTGAATTTTCAATGAATAATGTAAATTCATCAGATACTTGTTGAATTATTTTTGTTTAATTTTTAATCAAATGCTTATTTGCTATCCTCAAACAAAAAATTGTTGATTTAATAATTTATAAGTTTTTTATTTATTTTAAAATTAATTTTTGTAATTTATTATGTACAATTTATTATAGATGTTTTGTTCAAAAATATCTATTTTAATCTCTTTTTTTTTTTNTTTTTTTGCCTGATGTTAAAATTAAAATCATTGAATATAAACTCTGTTACAGGGACTATTCCGTTTACCCAGACTTAAGACTCTCACCTTGAGTGAAAATGAAATCTTTCACCTTCAGCCTGAAATCGGGAGCTTGTCAACTCTTACAGAACTTGATATTAGTAAAAATGGTTGGTATTTATTTCACATTATTGCATTTATTTTTAATTTGACTATATCATTAATTTATAAGATAGAATTTCAATTTTAAGTTCTTCTTTTTTATTTATCTTATGCTTACATTTATTTTTCCCTTAAGTATTATGTTGGCATTTGATTTATAGCAGATTATTAAGACTCACATCCCAGCATTAGTACTGACCTTCATGGTTTAATAGCTCAAAGTCTAGGAGATCTCTAAAATGCAAAAATTGTTACAAAACTATGTTAGATTTAGCAAATGTATTAAATTTATTTTAAGATATGTATGATAAATGGACACAACAACAAGCATTTGCTCTAGGTTGAAAATCCAAATTTCATAGACAAATTTAAAAAAATAGTTAAAAAAATTTTAGACTTATTGAATAAGAATAATCATTGTTTGGATCCAGAGTGCAGATTTAAAACTATTGTGTTTAATTTCATTTAAATAAGTGTTTAAAATGTTAAATTTTTAAGTTATGCCTTCATACAAATCTGATAAAGCTACATCTTCTGATTGGACTTCTTTTCCTATTTGAGTAAATCCAAATTTAAAAAGTTTCAAAGCCTTTTGTTTGAATATGTGCATGAAACTTTTGTGAATAAATTAAACAAAAAAGAGATTTAGAATGAAGAGACCTCTTTTGCTGTCAGTAAGGTCTTTAAAATAATTTAAACAATTTGTTTTTATGCCGAAAACAAGTGTAAAAAAAATTTTTTTTATGTTTGTTATGTAATTGAATAATTTGTATTGTGCTAACAAAAGCAGTGTTTATTTTCATTGAAGAATAGGTTCAGTGTTTCGTTATCAAATTTAGGGATGTTACGCTAATATTTTTAAGTATCCCTCTTTTCGAGATTAGAAATTAGATTGAATAAGTTAGGCATCAATGGCATGTAATTGTCTTTTCATACTTGCCAAAAGGCTCTGTTTAAGTGGAATTTTTAATATATATGCTGTTACAGTTTTAACAGAGGCTTTAATGACATAACCATAAATGTTAACCTCAGTAAAAGTAAAATATAGATATTATAAATTTGAAACAGAAAGAAAGACAATTATTATGAAATTTTTTATTCACAGCAATCACTAGAAAATTATATTTAACAATTAATAAACCTTCTAAAGCATTTAAACATTCTGTACATTCGTTTAGACGATCTGAACTTTCTGAAACATTCATTTAGATTGTTAAAATTATAATATGTTTTTCTGAAACAAGCAATGTATATTCACGTAGCAAACATGACAATTTTGTCTTTAAAAAAAATATTTTTATTCCTATTTCATTTCAGCTCACTATCAACAATTTTTTAAAAAAATGCAAAACTGAGCTTTGTTACTTAATTTTCAGATTGTTCAATGAAAATTCTTTCACTTCTGTTAGATGCTGGCTGCATAGATGTGCAGATCTGAGTGGAAGAAATAAAATGAAAGATCATTGTCATAAAAATGGTCTAGGTACAAATCACAATTGTGAAATAAATTTTCAGGAAAGGGTTAAGCAGTGTTCTAAAGGTTCTAAATTGATTGATTTTTATTTGAAAATTGATGTTTATTGACATAAGTTAAGTGTCAAAAGTGATGATGGGTCAAATTATGACCCGTCAAACTAAAATTTTTGAGTGCAAAATATGACTATGACCTTGCCTTTTGGAAAAAAATTCATTTAAATCTTTGTTTTGAACCTTTTACTACTGAGAAAAAACTATTCTATTGTAGAAAATTTGATAATATATTTTCTTGAATTTATAACATTATTAAAGTAACTTTTTTTACTCTTATTACTGTAAAGCTAAGTTGGCATATTTGCGCTTAACTTCCCTGATGATTAATGTTTTTTAATAGAGAAAAACCGATTTGTTACTTAACACTAGAAAGACTGTAACTTAGTATTATATATTGCTCAAAAGCAGTCAAAATAACTGGATTGTGAAAGAATAACTAATGTGTAAAGAAATTTGTTTAAAATTAATTTTTAATACTCTTTATATAATTTACAGTTATATAACAAGTTATTAATAAATATTAACAATAAAAAAATTATATGTTGTACAGAAAGTCACAAAATTCTAAGAAATTGTGTCATTATATACATCATTGTTTTTCTAATTGAAATTAAAAAGCAGTCAAAATGATTTCCTTGGGCAATCTAGTGTTAAGAAAGTAGCATCCATGTTCTGAATTTGATATTGATAATTAAAAGGTTACTCATAGTTGGAGCTGTTAGTTAATTTTTATTTTTTTAAATGTTATCACATTGTTGCAATTTATTTAAATTTTGTTTTTCAAGACTGATTGTTTTTTATTTTTAGATTTATATGATATTCCTGAAAATATTAAAACTCTAAAACAGCTGCAAGTTGCAGATTTCAGTTCAAACCCTTTAAAAAAGTAAGTTGTAGACAGTTGTTTTCATGTAATGTTACCTATGCTATGTATTTTTTTAAAATGTATATAATGTCTCTCTCCAGAAAAGCAACAGCAACATTATGAAGTGCATAAATTTTCAGTATCTCTATCATGATTTCCCACGTAAAAATTAATTTAATTGCTTAAAAATCTTTACTCCACTCTATAAAATCAAGAAATTAAAGAAAGAAAAAAAGATTTTGTATGCAATTAGTACATATTGAACACTAGATACACTTAATATTGTGTTAAAAAGTGATATCTCAAAAGCAAGATTCAAAATTTGTGGGTATTATTATTTATATTTAAAAATTGAGGTGTTTAAACCATGCTGAACTAGATAAATAGCTGTTGAAATTGTGGAGAATCAATGGTACCATTTCCAAACCGTGGAGAATCAAGTGTGTGGATTTAAAGTAATGCATGCATTGTAATATAAAAAATTGAAATACAAAAACTATGCGAAAAATTTTAGCAGTTTAGTGTTGTAGGGAAAATTGTAATAGACTAAACTATGTATTGAATTTGAGGTGAAACAGAATTGTCAAAAGTTGAACATATAAACCAACTTACATAAATCTGTGGTGTAATATCTAATATCTTGCAGTAATGTGATTGATTCTTCAAATCCATGATTTGAAAATACCATAGTTTTTCTTAATGCATTGTATTAGATAGCAGCATTAAAAAAAGCATATAAAAATATGTCACTATTAAGTGATGAACATGTTTTTGACAATCACACATTGGTTTAGTGTTCAATGATACAATTACGTAATTTATAATTATAGAAATGCTAATTGTTACATTATACAAAATGCATCACATACATATATGTATAGTAATATATTGAAAAAGCCATAATTTGGTATAATATTTCTTGTAAAGTGCTGAAGCAATCGAATGTCAAAAATTCCATAAGCAGTTAAAAGAATCTGAAAGAATTTAATTATCTGATATTTTGATAAAAAAATATGTAATTAGTTGTTGATAATTTAAATTTACATAAATTAAATTTTTCAAATAATTTGACTTATAAATCTTGAAAAACAAATTGTTTTTAACTACAATTATTTTTCTTAATTTTTATACTACAAAATATATTTTTAAGATCTCAGATCTATCTTTATCTAGATTTTAAAAAGACCTGGGTTCAGGGGACCTTGTCATCCTTTTTTAAAAATCTAACAATGCTAAATCAAGATTGTTACCTTTTTTAGAAGTAACCAACAGTATTTTAGCAAAAATTGTTAACTGAATTCAGAAAAAAAAAATTGACATTCCAATAATTTTCTAAAATACCTCTGGCCAAGATATATGATGTCTTTTCAGATTAGAAAGAACTTGGAGACAATACATATCTGTTTCCTGGATTATCATTTATGAGTTACATAGTATATTAGTATCCTAAATATTCTTTACTCATTTCTAAAATATTTTTAGCTTGAGTTTTTAAATAAAATGAAAGTTAAAATGAGAAAATTGCAATTAGCTGTTGTTATAAATTTGTCAAACTTTTTATTTTTGTCATAGAAACTCAGTATCTGATAGTAATTTAAACTTTTTTAATGTTATTTCTTTATTAATATTTTACAAGAGTTAATAAAAAATGCAATTTTTAAAAGATATTGCTCCCTGTCACTTCTTTAAGAAAAAAAACTTAAATAAAACCCTCAAAATTATGAACTTGTTATACTGTGAATTATTTTAAATTTTTTTGATATAAACTATAATGTGTGCATTCATGTTAACACAATAAGATATTCATGTTATTGTTGTTTTTTTTTCATATCCTTGAAGAATTCCCTCTTGTATTGTATACCTTCAAAACTTAACAGATTTGAAGCTAAATGATGTCAATCTAACGGAACTGCCTTCTGATTTTGGACGGTAATATTTATTTACTGTTTTGTAAAGTAAAACATCTTGTAGTTGCTTTGGTGTTATAACTATATTAATATCATTATATTAGTTTCATGAGTGTTTTAAATTATATATTTCAACAATATAATTTATAATTGAATATGCATATAACAATGATTTTCAACGAAAGATTTGTGTCTCTTTCTTGAAAAAGGAAGCTGCTTTAGTAAAGCAATGTAAATTTTCTGTTATGTACAAGGGCTCCGGTAGCACAGTTTTTTTTAGGCACTGCTCACATTACTTGTTGGAGAACTGGGGGTAATTAGTTCGATCCTGGCAGCCCACAGAATAATCAATGTGTACAGGCAGAAATATGAATGCTAAATCTGTCATGGCTAAAAGTCATCTTCTTGGTTGTGTTGGGGAAGTTTGGAGTGAGGGATACCAGCTCAGACACTATCCACATGGCCTGACCAGGATCAAAATTATGTGGCATGGCTGTTAAAAGATAGATTCCTATAAATTGGGCCATGGTTGGGTGAAGTTTAATATAAAGGGTGCTAAATTTTAATTGGTATTCCTCTTTTGTTTTAAAAAAAGCAAAGTATAATTTATACAGTTGAAAAAGGAGAAGAAAAAGAGATTTTTTGTTCAAAGCTCTTTTATGATATAAATGTGTTTAATTGAATTGAAAAGCATTTTAAACAAAGTACACAGTTTTTTTTCTGATTATTATTAAACAAAATTATAGAGTGATTTTAAAACTTTACTACTATAAATCTTTGGATATTTGACGATTGAGTACACTTACAATAAACTCTTTTGTGTGTAATTCATATAGAGTAGTTTTAATTCTATCATTTTATATTTTTAACACTTCTTAAAATTTAGACATTTGTATTAATTAGAATACTACTGTGTCTAGAAAGTATTTTCCGTATTTTGAAGTTCCTGACATCAGTGAATTATTAATTGTGTAGTTTGATAGAAAAACATCCCATATCAAAATTTCAAAAATTAAGTATTTTATTTAGTTAAAAAATTGCAATTAGTATGTTACATTTATTATATTTCATTTAGCCGCTGTGGGATCTTCGAGATAACTTTCAGTAATCATTTTACTGAGCACTTTAAAAGATTGCATGGATGTATTAAACTTGTAGCTCTACGAAGATTGACATATCATACTATATTCACAAGATGCTTGGTTACACAAAAAGTATCCTAGTCATGAAAATAAAAATATGTGGTACATTATAGCTCTTTCTGGCTCTTAAAACTCTAAATTTAAAATAAATCTAGGCTTCTTTAATAAAATAAAAAACTTTATTAGACTGTCCTCAGAAAGGTTTGGTTGAGCTCGTTAGGCTTGCTTTTTGTGCTCTTAACTATTTTAATTAAGCATGATGGTTCTTAGTTATTCAATTTTTATCATGCTTGTAGCTGCAGAAATTTTTAATCACTTTTTTTTTCTTCCTAATTTTAGACTTGTTAATTTGAGAGTTTTGGAACTTCATGATAATATGCTAAAAGAGCTCCCATCCTCCTTTGTTTCCCTGAAAAATCTAGAATGCATTGATCTAGCAAGCAATATGTTTGAAGAAATGGTAAGAAATTTTTATTTTCAGATTTTATATTCATATTTGTAATTTATTGCATTTGAATATTTTAAGATTGTTGATTTGTGAAAGTTGATTGTGAAATGTTGATTGTAAAGAAGTTATTGGTGCTCTTATTGCACTTAGTAATTTTTCAACATCACAAATATTCTAAATATGGTTTTACGTTTTTTAGGTGTTCAATAAGCATAAGTTACATTTTGCACAATATTGTTGAAAACTTACAGTTTTTACCATAGAGGATTTGATATTTCTCTATATGAGTTAGTAGTATGATATTAAAAGTTAGTAGTTTTTTAGAGAAGTTTGCGATACAATGAGCTTGCAAAAAAATAAGATGATTAAATGAATCGACATTTGTTAAAAAATATATATATATTTATAATTTATCCTTATAAAATTTTGAGAGTTGTTGTCACAATTAATTGGAGTCTTTTAGTGTGTTTTAAGACTAAGTAATATGTGATGAAATATTATAAATAAACACTTTAAATGTCTTTCGTAAGAGGTAGATTTGAATATATATGCTTTTCAATTTTTTTTCAATCAGTGAGATGAACATAAAATAAGATAAAGGTTTATTACATTTACAATTTCAGTATTTTATCATGTAAGTATTTCAGTATTTTATTAATTTTTCATTATTTATATGAATTTATTTTACATTTTTCAGCCTTCATGTTTGTGCCAACTCTCAAAGTTGCAGGAGCTTTGGCTTGATTCCAATGAAATATCTTCACTTTTACCGGTAATATTTATTTCAAATAACAATATTGATTTTTAACTAATTTCTGTTATTTCTAAAAATGTCTTTTTAACCATAAGAATAACCATAACTCTACAAAAGCAGTGTTAAGCGTATTTCTATTGCATCTGTAATTGTCTCATTAAAATATTATACAAATTACGTTGTTTTAAAGGAAAACTTAGAAATTTCCATTTAAATATATATACAGTAAAACTTGTGTAAGTTGACCACTTGTGGTACATTGTTTTAGTGGTCAACTTAGACAAGTGGTCAACTTATAGAGGGGGTGGGTCATTGTTTACTTTTCTGTTTCCTATATCATGTTGCTATTTAATTTTTTTTTTTTTAGCTTGACTTAAAAATTTTATTCAGAAAATATACAAATGAATGTCTTAAGAAATGTGTTTAAACCTGAATGAACTTCAATTTGATACATTGTATAATTCTAATATTTAACTAATTTTTAAAAAAAAAATTATTTCGTTAGTTATGCATGTGAAGTGTTTAATAAATATAATTTCTTAAAATATCAGAACACGAAAACATGTAATTTGAAAACTTTAACAAAATAAAATTATTTGAACACTTTAAAATTTATTTACTACACTTAAAGATCAAAGACCATAAATAAAGGATCAAAGCATATTTCAGAGCATTCATTTATTCAAATGCTCACTATTGCAACTGGAAGAGCAACTTTTCAACTAACACACCTGTTTTCAATGAACGGATGAAAGAAATGGTCAAAAGCTGACCCCTTACAGTTTCCCCTGATGGTCAACTCACAAAAGATTAGCTTTTTACACTATTTCACCAAACAAGTGAAATTTTAACATACATTGCCAAAATGACAGAAAATTTTCTTAATTTTTCTTTTCTGGTCAACTTATGAGGGTTTTAGAATAGAATTTTCATAATACTCCTAGATAAAATTGACTTATTTCAGTGGTCAACATACAAGATAGACAGGTGGTCAAGTTACAAAGGTTTTGCTTCTTTATATTATATAGGAAAAATTCCGTTCTTGATAATTGAGGTCAACTTATGCAGGTGCCCAACTTACAAGGGTGGTCAACTTGGCAGGTTTCACTGTATATATATTCTAATGACAATGCTACGCAGTATAATCTGACTAAAAATGAACTGATTAAGCTGCATTTTAAAATTGTACAACTTAGGTATTCCTTATTTTACTTATTCATTGATCTTCCTTTTGTGATGTACTGAGATTAAAATTGATATATTTGTCAAACTCTTTGTTGTGTCTTTGAGATCTATATAGACTATCACAATGTGTTTAAAATAGAATTTAAAACATACTTACTGAAGCTATTAATAAAAGTTAGGAGCTTGTTATGTCATGCCAAATTTTTGTTTTGAACTCTTTTCTACATTATTATTGGTGCTTTTATTTCTTATTAACGAGAAATTTACATTGTTTTTCATTATAGATAAAAACTATTTCAAATTCTACTTGCATGTTGATGTTCAAAAATTTTTAAGTAAAAGTACATACTGAGCAAATGTTTTTATACAAATTTTTTACCACATCTGCTGTTTAAATAATATTTAGTGGTTATTTTATTTTTTTTAAATGGAAAGAAATAGTTTTCAGCGACAACACTTTTTTGTCTATGGAGCGGATTTCTATCTTATAAAAAAGCAATTTTTTTTTCAATATATTTTAATTTTGCACTGTTGTAGTTTAAAATGAAAATTCCTAGTTTCCACTAAAAGTTTTATATTTTGGAATCAATTGTCAAACTGCTGTGGATCATTTGAATGACTTAATTATTTTTTTAAGGAAATCAAATTAATAGTTAGTAATGAAAGTGGTGGTTGGACTAAGTAAATTTTTACTTATCTATTTTTCAGCAAATGTTCATGACATTACATTCATACATTTGAAATCTTTTTCGTATTTGATATTCATCTCCTTTTTTTAATTTCAATTAATATTGATTGAACTTTACCAATTTTTAAGTCGATATTTCAAACTTTAAGACCATCAACTATCATATTCAAATATTTCAGATGTCTGATGATTGAAGTTTTTCTTAAGGTAAAACCATCTTATGAAATAGGAACTCAAATTAACAATTAAAATTATAAATTTATTAAGTGATGAATGAAGGATCTTTTATCGACTATTTTCAGCAAATATTGTTACATATCTTGTGGGGGAAAACTGTGTAGCTTAAAAAATTTGGATTTATCTTTTTATTTGTTTTTTAAATAATTTATCTCTTACAACAATTCAGTAATCGCAGATTTATTATTCAGTGATCACATGCAAAATTATAAAAACCTTATTTGATTAAAACCATCTGAAACCAAATTACAAGTTCTTATGAAATATTAGATTGAAAGATAATCAATTGACCAACATTTTTTAATTAAATATTAAAACATTTTCTCTTTGAAATTTGATAATCCAAATAATAATTAACAATAAAAATTTTTAACCAACTGAACTCTTGACTAGTTTATATTGTATCAAGTTTTTTTTTTCTGTTTGCTTTACTTCACTTTTATCGATTCATATTATATAACAAAAATATTTTTACTCTTCTTTGATCTTCTGCTGCTACTGTAATCAAACTCATAAAATAATTCAGTCTTATGGCTTTTGCAAGCAAAAAGCATGGTTTCAGGAGTTTTTCAAAAATCACAAAGGTTTTAATAAACCATGCAATTTTTAAAAAACCTATGAAATTGGCACACATGTCTCAGTGCAAGAAGAGCATTGTAGAAGAATTTAACTTATTAAAAATTTATTTAGCTAATTTTTTCAGATATATAATTGACTAATTTTTTTAAAACACAAAAATTAATTAATTAGATTCTGAGATTTTAATTTTTTAAAACTATGATTTGCTGAATAAGTTGTACGAAACTGGTTTGTATCATGTAATATTTATAATTCTCTGATTACCATATGCAACTACCGTTCATTTTTGTCAGTAATATATTTCAGTTAGTATGTAGATAAGAGCAAAATTTAAAACTACAGGATTAATTAAAGCAAATTTAACATTGTCATATTGTTTAAAATTAAATTTTGTACATTTTGTGTGAAAGCTTATTTATTTATTGGCTTCTATTAATTATTAACTATTATGTTAAATTAATTGCAATTCTGATGTAAAACAATTCTTATGTCTTACAGTTCTTACATTGTATGTATAAATAAAACCAGTTGTTATTTGAGATTTAAGCAAAAATTATAATACTATTTTCACTCATTTTCAAATTCTAATTTTGTGAAATTAAAATAAGTAGTGGGAAAATATTTATTTTTTAGTTCAATCAAAACCTTATTAAAACTTCCAATAAATTATATTACTGCTATTCAACATATTTTATCAAACTTCTGAGCATAATGACGTTGAGCATATTGTCATTAATTAGCTTGTCATGAATTATGTTTTCCTTCCTTTTTACTTCATATTTCGCAATTTTCTTCTAGCCTCTTTCAGTCTGTAGAAAAACTAGGTTTCTTTGAAGTAAAGATAACTAAATTTAGTTAAGATCTCAATTATAACTCTCAGAGAGAAACCCCTACCTTACCATTATAATGCTATCTCTAACTATATAATTGCTATCACTATTATCAAATATTTCTTCCAAATTTAGCTGATAATATTTTTCAGATATTAAACAAATATAAAAGTTCTTAAATGAGCCATCTAAAGCATATTTCAACACAAACTTACATATTCTTTATGTCTAAATCGAAAGTTTAAACAAATGTGCAAATAAACATCACATAACTAGTTATTGAAAAATTTAAAAATCTAATTACAATTAAGATATTTTTCAAACATTTATTTTTAAAGTCTGTATTTTTAAGTTGCGTGTTGAATAAATTTTTTCAACTAATATAATTTATTAAATCATTACTTTTATTTCACACTTTATTTAAAGAAGATGCAACCGATATAAAAAAAAAGTATGTCTTGTTGCTACTGACCAAATAAAATTTGCATTTAACTATTTAAATAAAATCAGATGTATTTTTCTTTAAGTGCAATATTCATGCTCTAATGATTTTAACATGCCTTAGTCCATTTCTCTTTGTGTTTTTATAGCTGAAGGAGACATTTTATCAAGTTTATATTTGTTCTTAAAAGATAAAAACTTTATAGATAACTTTAAAAAGTTAGTCAATATAAACTAAGAATTTTTGTCCAAAATGAAATGTTAAAGTAGTTCATGTTCTTAAAAATTATTAACTTAAAATTGTTCATTTCAGGATATTAAAAAACTTAAAAGTTTGAAATGTCTTGATATTTCTGAAAATGAGCTTGAATTTCTTCCTGAAGAAATATATGGTTTAGAAAATCTCACAGATTTGTATATTTCTCAAAATTATCTACAATTACTTCCAAATGGAATTGGAAGCTTGAAATCGCTTACAGTCTTCAAGGTATTATATTATTTTCAATACTTTCTATTTTTGTATACCTCATTTGCTTTAAATTGTTTGAATAAAATTATATTTTCAGTTTCTTTTGCTTGTATGGTTTTTATTTTTACAAAATTATTAAAATATTTTAACATTTTTGATTAAAATATTTTAAACTTTTTAGTACACTTATAAAAGTTAATTTTTTTTAATTTTATTATTTTGTGTAAAACTTATGTACTTAAAACTAAGAAACTGTAGAAAACCTGTTTTCTTGTAATTTTTTTGTTAGTATTATTAAAATGCATTTTTTAAAATTATTATCATTAAACAGAAATTGTATCGATTACTGTTGTAAACTTCAAACATAACATATGTAAACTTCAAACATAACTTAAATATTTTAACAATAATATTCTCTATAGGTTGATGGTAACAGATTACTCTCATTACCTGTGAGCTTTGGAAAATGCACTAACATGCAGGAACTGGTGCTGAAAGATAATGAGTTAGCATCCCTTCCAACTTCTATTGGTTTACTAACAAATCTGAAAACTCTTATTGCAGATTGCAATAAATTGAGTAGTCTTCCTGGTGAAATATCTCAACTATCTGAATTAACATTGCTCTCATTACGAGATAATTGCATTTACTATCTGCCAGAAAATATTGGTATTATGAAAAATTTGCAAGTCTTGGATCTTTGTGGCAATAGGTATGTTAAATACAAATTTGCTTATAAATATTATTTTATGACTTTTACTGAAATTTCAGTTCTATAGTTAAAATATATTATTTTTTATTAGAATAAAAGCTACATTTTAACCTTTTGTTTTAATCATTTTATTTATTTAAAAACTTATAAACCATTTATTGCAAATTTTTAATACAATTTTTATGTTCATTTAATTTTAATTTTTTTTAAAAAAGAAAAAGGATGATAGTTGAGTATGGTTCAAATTACCTAAAAATTCTATAAAACTTTTCTTTTAGCTTTCAATAATTACTTGTAAAAGAGAATTTCTATTGTGGTATTGAGGATGAACAGAAAAAAGTCAAGGCTAATCTTTTTTTTTTTTTTTTAATTGACAAATAAAGGTATTTTATGTATGGTTATTATTTAAATATAAATAAATAAATGATTCATAAGAGATTAAACTATTTAAAATTTATTTAATTTCTTTGTTAAACCTATCAAAATGTTTAAATAAAGTAAAATTGCTAATAAAAAACTGAATATATTTTAAATGTCAGATGCAGAATCAGAAAATAGAAGTCTCTGTTTTAGATTAAAATACAGCATATAATTATAACCTGAAATTTAAATGCCAGAAAAAAAATTCAGAAAACTGTAAATGTTATACTACAAGTTTTACAAATTATTAATGTTGGAATCAGTAGAATTTTTTCTTAAATGCTTTTACTATTCCTAAATATATATATGTATTAACAATGTTTCTTATTTTACTTAGGGTACAATACCTTCCAACCAGCATTATGTTCCTGAATTTAAAAGCCCTTTGGCTATCAGAAAATCAAGTAAGTGCAATTTTAGTCACGAAATTTTATTACTCCTGGAAATATACTGTTTTGTATATTTTTGTTTTTTACATAACCACCCTCTTTGAAGGTCATCATTTGTTTTGTAATCGTTGGTAAATCGTGGTTAATTTTAGTTATAATAATGTGGTAATTCAACAATTGCTTAGTAGGAATTTTTCCATTCTTATTATTCCAAGTAAACTACAAAACACTCTTTCAAAATTCTTAAGTACTATTTTTAAAATCTTTTGAGAAAAACTTTTTATCACATCACTAAATAATTTTGTTGTGTTTTTCAGTTACATGTTTCATCAGTTTAAACTTAAAGTAATTTTTTTTTCAGCATCAACCTCTATTAAAGTTCCAAACAGATTATGATTGGAAGGCGCAAAGAAATGTTATGACCTGTTATATGTTACCACAGCAAGATTATGATGTTGATTATTCAGGTATAAATATCCTTAATGCTTAGAATATTTTTCTTTTGAAACATTTAAAGGAAAATTAACTTGGGGTGTTCTTTAGTTTAAAAAAAAAGACTAATCTTTCATAATTCTTTTCTAGTACAAACTGCAGAAGTTGAAGAAAAGATTTTCCCTAACAACCCAAGAGTTGGATTTGCTGTTGAAAGTGATGATGAATTAGACAAAGATGTAAGATTGATGAACTGCTTTTAATAATTCTAATTATTTTGTTGCTGTGTTAAATGTTTTCAATATATTTAATAGGCAGAACTTGTTCGTCATGGGACTCCATATCCTAAGGATTTGAAAACTAGAGCAATTAAACTTTTATCAGCAAAGAATAAAGTTGTGAAAAATGGGGATGATGGTTGTGAGAAAAATGTACCTATTATTTTCTTGATTTTACATTTTAGAATACTATTTTGGATTAATTAAATGTTATATCTTTTAAAATTCTATTTCTGGTAATCAATATATTTTTTAAACTTTGAAAATATTATCATTGCCTCATAAAAAGTTTTGAGCTTGACTGTTTGTAGGTAGTGTTAAAAGTTTTTTTTAAAAAAAAATTTGTTATGAGCAAAGAGACATTATTGCATATTATAGATTCAAAATACCATAAATTTATGCTTTACAAACAATGGTTAGCTATGGGAGAAGTAATGGTTAAGATTTTCATCATAATTAGTTAGGCTGTTTTATTGAACATCCAATTTTCAAAGAATGCTTAATATTGTTTATCAAGAAAAATTTTATGAAAATTAATTCACTAGGCCAGGGGTGGCGAAACTTTATGCACCAACGGGCCATTTTTTCTAAAAAAAAATTTTTTTTATGAGATTCTCGACGCTCAGGTAACTAAAAGCTCGCTCAATAATCAGAAAGAAATGGACTGTATAATTATGCACAATATTTATTTATTATTATTTGGAAGAGAGCTTTTTTGTAGCTCGTTACAGCTCTCCTTCCACACACACACACTCTCTTGTGTTACAAGTTATACTAGGTGGCGCTACAAATCCGTGCGGATACAGAGATCATAGACGTGCCGTCAAATAATTTTGATTTCGTGATTCTTGGGAAAATAATGATACAAAGTATCAACTCAAAACTCTTTATTTACTATGAAAAAAAACACATTTTGCAATGTCTCAGTTATACGCGTAGTTCAACTTAAGGTAACATCGGTGTGACTTCTGTTGTTGTAGATAAGATGACAAATAACTTATATTAGGTTGTAAGATGTTAGTTTAAGCAGGAATATTAATTTTTTTTTTTACTAGCCATTTATTGTTAGCTTGTTTTTTATGGTTATTAATTATTTTTTGGCATTAATTGTTAATTTTTTTGTTAATAACTGTCGATTTTTTTTCTTTATGAGTTTTAATTTAATTGTTAATATGCTTCATAGTGAACTGTGTAATCTCTTGCGTGCCCGAAATATTGTGTCGCGTGCCATGAATAGCACGCGTGCCATTGGTTCGCCATCCCTGCACTAGGCAATCAATATAAGCGGAAAGGTTTTAAAGTTATCATACAATAACAAGCATAAAAAATTTTTAAGTTTCAGGCAATATAAATGCCACTACATTCTCTTTTCCTGACAAAATCATAAACTGCAAAAGCAAATCAAATCAAGTTTGCAGCATATTATTTTATGTCCTGCATTCTAGTTCATTTATTCAGCCAAAATTTCAAACCAATTTGTTCTGTTAAATCTTGAAAATTATACATTTAGTTTATACAAACCTTTTTAACTTTAAATAAGTGTCATATTATTATAATGCACTTGCAAAATATTAATTGTCTATTTGTTTTAGTATTTGTTGACAACAATAATGAGAGTTCAATTATAATCAGTAATTGTTTGATAATCTTTAAAAAGATCTATTCTGAATAATTTGGTATATTTAAAAAATTACGAATAATTATCACATAAATAAATGAGGTTACTCAACAAATAAATGAAATTACTCAATAGTCATACTTAATTTATTGAAATAATTTTTTTAGGATCTTTTAAATGGTAGTCATAAGCCTGATGTTTGGAAATCAGAAGAAAATCCACGAGTATATTCCACTTCACCTGTTGCAGATTCTGGTGTATCAAGTGCTGCTTCACCTGGTATCATATTTTTTTGTTTTCTAATTCATCATAATTCATTATATTATATCACCATTTTCTTATTCATCAAAGTAATAATTAAATTCAAAAACGTTTGTAATAATTATAATTAATTTTAATTTAAAATGTCTAACTTAGTTTTGTTTTTTGTATCCATAAACTTAGTAATATTTCACATTGTTACAAAATTCAAATTTTTATTTTTAAGAAAGACTTGTAATAAATAACTTTTTTTCTCTAATTTACCTGTTAAGGTAAACTTTACATGCATCATCTTCAATTTTTTATGTGGTATTTATATGAAATTTATTAACCGCTTCCCTTATTATCCCGAGTTAACTCGAACATAGCAAAATGCGCCAATAAGTTTTGTTTTTATTTGGCCGGAAGCAAAACAAAAAATTATAGTAATCTGCTGTGATTGGAAGTTTGGCAATATTTGTTTGGGAGTTTTGCTATTTGTAGGTCTGCAGACGTGTTTTGTGCAATTGTATACACGATGATTGATGAATTTACATTTAAAAAAAAAGAGTTTAAAAAATGGCGTTGGTGAGCGACAAGTGGTTTCCAATCTGACAAGTAATGGAAATGAATTTTCAGATTATGGAGATGTGAACACATACAAAGACTAATATTTAACTTTTTTCACTTACCCGAGATAATTTGTGATAGTATGATGGTAAATTAAATATTTTTTACACATAAAAAAATTAAAATTTCAACTTAGAACTTATATATTATGTTTTGTTTTAGTTCCTCGTAATTATTAATGAAATAAAAAAATATATTGATTTTGTGTTTTTTTTTCCTTCAAAAAAATTGGTAATCGGTTAATACGAAATTATTAGTTTTGTATTTTTTGTTATTTAATATCACTTCAGGAATTTTTAATTAAATTTTTTCTATAATTTTATAAATCTATATTTTTTTAAATCATTAATTATGATATTTTATTTTTTGTTCATGATATGCAATAAAATATAGGGTAGTTTAAAAAAAAATTGTCTGCATTATTCTGCACTTAAAATTAAATTAGAAATTTTTGATTTTATCCTATAGCTAATAATACTGCTGATCAAATAAATTACAATCATCAAGCTTATGCTCAAAAAAGTAATGCTGCTAGCCTGGAATCAATGCGTGGCTTAAAGTCAAGTGCCAGCACTGATATTAGCCTTAATGAACTGGTATGTATTCCTCTTCATCAACATCTTCAAATTTGTACTTATATTGATAAAAATTTAATAAATCAAAAATTAAAACAGACCTTGAGTCTCAACGCATCATCTGAAGTAGCTTTTGTTGAAATGATTGACTTTTTCCCATTAAGTTCAATGTTCATTTATCACAGAACCTTCTTAAAACATGCTAGCATAATTTAAATTTTATACAGAAAAAGAAATTTCTTTCAAACACTAATGCAGTGTGTATTTTTATAAATGTCTAGTTAATATCTTGAAAAATCTGACCTAATATTGTTTAAATATCACCTAATATAATGGATAGTTTGCTCTATACAAGTGGTTTCCAATCTGACAATCTGGTTACACGACTAAACTATATAAATCAAGGCATTGTTGCTCACAATACAAAATTTAGTTGGCCTACAGATGCAACAGTGTAAAATTTAACAAATATTACCTACTTAATTTAATGAACAATGATTGTTTTTATCTGCAAGATGTGCATCACTTAAAAGGTTTTCTTTTTTTAACTACATTATGGAAGGAAAACTGTTTAAGATACTTTGTTAAGAATAGTGTATACATATTTTGAAAGTAATTCATTTATTTAATATTGAATAATAAATAATTGTGCATTTCTTTTATTAAGCAAATGAGAAATTATGTGAAAAAGAATGAATATAAGAATAGAAACTGCTGTCAACTTTCAATACCTCTTCAATATTTTCTATTATAAACTCTTCAACTGCAATATTATTGCAAGAAATTTATATGAAATAGAAATAATTACTTATATATATATGAGTAATACCGGGGTGCTAAAATTATGACCTAATGAAGAGATAGACTGTTCGACCTAGAAATTGTCAGATCTAACCAAGATATTCATTTTTTATGTGCATTATATATCATTCCCGAAAAGTTATAGATGTATTACTTTTATTATAAATGATTTTTTTCTGAAATAAGTCAAACCACCCACTCTTATCCCATGAGTGATCTAAAATCAGCTACACATGTTAACTAAATAAGAAATTTAGAAATGCTAGAATTTCAATGAAAGACATCTTTATTTTATATGGTAAATTAAGAAAATTTTGCATGTTATTTTCATGTGATGTAGTTTAGGCCGTACTCAAGGGGTAGATAGAGGGACAATTGTCCTAGGGCCCAGGACTGCTGAGAAGTTCTCTAAAATATAGTTTTTATTAATGTTTTTTTTAAAGAAAATAGTAGATAATTTCTTTTTATCAGCATAAAAACTACAGTTTTGTTTAAAAGATCTCCAAAAATGCTACAAAATATGAAAATAAAGTCTTTTTGTGGTTTAGAAAGGGGCCTGTAATAAAATTTATCCTGGGACCTGTAAAACCTCTGTTCAGCCTTGGGTAAAGTTATCTTCTTCCTCCACTGCATTGCTACTTTCTTGGGAACAGCATAGACATAAATTGAGAGGCATCAAACCTCCTCTTCTCCCACCAACAGCGGTTATCAGAATGCAGCAAAACAGTGCTACTATTGGACAAAATTCTTATTGTTTATTAGAGTATTAATTTTGAATAAATATAATAAGATGGACTAAAAGTAGTTTCATTATAACTGTAATGACCAATAAATAAGCACTGCTTAAAAATAAGAGAACATTAGTGAGTTGATGTAATAAATTAAACTTATCTCCACAAACGCTGCGAATTAATAAGCAACAATACTCTAATATGATCGGTCCTTCTTCTTGACTAGTAAAATGAAATTCAGAATTTGTTTGCTAAAAATCAGAACTAATTTTGCCAAAATCAAGGTACCTGGTTTTATCCCAGCACTGGGTTTCACACCCCACTCTCTCCTATATCTATACAAAAACAGAGATCAACTTATACAATAGTTTCATAAAAATTTGGCTACTTCAAGGATAAATAAAAAAAAATTAGAAAGTTGAGAAAAATAATTCATTACTATGTTTTAAGCAGGCAACAAGGAAAACGAAATTTGATTAAAATTATTATTAATATTGATTTGTGAAATTTTTAATTCAATACATTATTATTGTTTAGGATTGGTTCATAGGAATTTTCATGTTATAATTCTATGTATATATTTTTTTTAAAAAAATATATAGTACAAAAATTCGTTTAAAGTATGATGTCATTTTTTTCTCTCTAGGACCGACTTGAAATGTGTTTAAATCATGCTGTTTTTCATACTTATCTATAAATTTTTAAGCTTTCAGAGGTTTGAGAGACCAGAATAAATTACGAGCGAAATAAGGCGATTTTGAACTCCCTTATATCAGGAAATGTAGCAATGAATCTGTAACTTACTTTGGTTATTACATTCAACATAAAATTTTGTAAGTTTAGTTAAAGTATTTATGGAGATACCGTCATTCTTATGAAAAAAATTCTTTTTTTGTTTGATGTTTTTCTTTTTGCCGTAGCCTTCAAAAATATTCGATAAAACTAAGCAAAATTTTTAAAGTAATTTTTAAAAAGAAAAATCATTCTAAATTTGAAAAAAAAATTTACAAACTGTGCAATATATTTTCGCATTTAAAGTAGTTCTTTCATATTGTAAATGTGCGGAAACATTGAAAAAGAAATTTTATAATTTTGTAATGAATTGTATTTGGTAACTAATGAAAAAAAGTTCTATTTGAATGTCTAGCAAATTTAAAAAGTTTTAAGCAATTTTCTAAGTAGTTTTTGTAAATTTTGAAAGAAATCTCTGAATGGTAAGAGGTTTTAAACAAATTTCATTTTGAATCATGAAACAAAACTTAAAAACAAATGATAATACCTTATAATAATCACCCATACACCAAAATATGATGGTACATTGAACTCTCGCTACTACAATATCCGATACAACAACTACCTCTGTTACAATAATATTTTGTGGTCCTGTCGAACTTTCATATGAATGAATGTTATCCTACTGTCAGTATTACGATATATTCTTAGGCAATAAACCCCTGTAAAACTTTTTTTTCCTTCAAATTTCAACCTTATTTTCTCCATTTATTAATGGTTTTTAAATGTAAAAAAGATCTTATTTTATCATTTACCATTTTTCCATTTTTTTTTTTTTTTTTTTGAAAAGAAAAGACTCACTGTTGGCCACCCCAAGAGCTTCCATTCTTAGAATTGCCTCCCTTATCTCTTAAGAAGTCGCAGAGGTTTTATTCCTATCTGCATGAGTCACAAATGACCACAAGCATCACACATTAACTTCTGAAAGAGATTTTTTTACATAGAGGGTGGGTGGAGCACCATTCACAAACAAAAATCATTTTCGTACTTTGAACTCAATGCATACTTTGTTGGTTGACTTAACAGTCAGAAGAATAAATAAACAAACAAAAATATTGGATTATTTTCAATAAAAATGGTTTTCAGATATGTTTTCTTTCTTATTTTATTTTGATTTCTTTAATATTTAACCATAATTAACATATCTGCAAATTAATATTTACATTTATAGTTAATACAAACATAGCATTAAAATTTTTAAATAAATCTTATTGTGTCCCCAAAGTATATGGGCTATCAATATATAACAATATATCCCTCTACAACAATATATTAATTTGGTCCAAAAAATTATGTTGTTGCAAGGTTTTAATGTATAAGGAAATAAACCTGCTTTTATGTGGGATGATCCCCCATAATGTCAATGTTATTTTTAATAAATCTTGTTTAAAAGTACAAAATGACAATCAGGAGAAACCCCCTTAACATTCAGGACTAGTTTTAAAAAAGTAGAAAAATTGCTTAAACACTGATTGAATTTTTTTAAATTTTCAAGATATTAAAATCTTATTTTTTTTGTAGGTTACTATTCAATACAAAATTCTGAAGAAAAAATTTTTTTGTTTTCTGTGCATGCACAGTAGGAAAAAACTACTTTAACTTCTCATATCTTGCACAATTTTTTTTTTCAAATTTCAAAATTATAATTTTGTTAATTAAAATTTGCTCCAAAATTTTTGATTTTACTAAATATTTTTAAATTTAATGGGAAAGAACAAGTGGCTATATACTATTTTTTTATAAAAATGTCCATGTCACCATAAATATTTAAGATAAGCTTATACAATTTTATGGAGTTCTTGCATTTAATAACTTAAGTTATCAATGCATGTTTATTTCTGTAAGGATGTTCAAAATATTTTTTTTCATTTGTAATTTATCTCTGGTCCCTCAAACTTCTTAAAGTTTTAAAATTTATTAAAAAGTAGGAGAAATCGCATGACCTAAGCACTTCTAATGTTATAAAATAATCCTCTAAGCATTTTTTAAGAAGTTTTAAAAAAATGTCAAGAACTGAAAGTGTCTCTTCAATTATTATAGGATAGTGTATGGCATTTTTTCTAAAATAGTTTGTTATTAAGACTTTCTTTTTCACCTAATGTTTCAATTTTCTTCTTTTTATAGTTCAGACTTCTTTTAGTAGTACTATAACTAATGTAATTTGATTTATGCTTCTCCAATTATTTTATTATTTTAAATATTTTTTCATTACTTATTTTTTCTTTGTATGAATATTAGATTGATAATTCAAGTGAAAATTGTTTATCCATGAGCAAAGGAAGCATTTCTTTTGATTCATCAAGTTTATTAGGCTGCAGACTACCAGTTGGTAAGATGTCTCAAAATTACTTTAGATGTTATTAAGATTTTTTTTTCATACGGGATGTAACAATGCTCAAATGCAAAAAATTTTGTATCTCATGCATTAGTTTTATGCAAAATCTTCAAGTTTATGTAGGAATAAAGTATTGAAAGTTGTATTTAACTTCGTTAAAAAATATATTATGATACTAGTAAATGTTATTGAATTAAGCAAATATGAAATCCTTTTTTTTTTAATCATAATTTAAGAAAAATTTCAAAATGGCAGATTTCTTGACGTTCAAAAGTGTATGAGTAACTTTTTCATTTTTAATATGTGTTGATTTTTGTGAGTGTGTGTGTTTATGTTAAAATGTTTAAGTTGTACTTAACTGCTCTTAGTATTTTTGTTAAAATTACTACAAGCATCATTTTTAAACACTGAACAGTATAGCTTTCAATACTATTATGTTTAAATAAAGTATATATGTATAAGAGAACAAATGTTAATCCTTTAATTAAATAATAGTTGTTAGTAAATTATGGTATTTTTGTTTCATATATATTTTGTTTGTTTTATAATATTTATATTCACAGAGATGATTGTGCTAAAAAAAAAAATTTTAATTTCCGGATTTTCCTCTAACCGTGATCCGGAAAGTTTCGGAAACCCAAATCCATAAATTTCAAGAAATCATCGATCACATTTATACATAGAAATTCTTGCATATTTTATTTAAAAATATTAGAACTAGAATATATACTTTGCAGCTCTTTTATTTGTAATTATTTTTTCTGGTATAATAATAAATGTAATTAGACATAAAAGTTAACTTTTACATAATTATACATTTAAATTATGCTACATATAATTTATTTAGAATTTCATGTTTTGAAAATATCAAAAATTTGAATTTAATTGAATTGCCATTTCCTTTTATCCAAAATTATTCCATTGCTTTTTATTTTTGAAACAAAATCTCTTGAATATATATTATTTCTATGAAGGATTTCTTTTAGTTAGTTGATTACTCATTGATACTCATGTTTTCTAAAAAAATTGATTTTTGTGTGCACTTTATTCTTTTCTGAACACTAATCAACATTTCTTCTCAAGCATTATTTTCTCAAACACTGCAAACCAAATTCATCCTCATTTATTAAGCACCAGAATTACTCTAAAAGATAAAAACTGAATTGTAATGAAACAGGCTCACGCTTCTTTATTAACCCCTTCACTTCTTGTATTTGCTGAATGGACTGTATTACAGCATTATTTCCAGCATATCTGCGCACCTGGAAAGTCATGAATTTCGGTATTGAACAAAATTTGTCATGAAATGTCCTGATTTTAACTATTTTTTTTTAAAAAAAATAATGGAAAGTTACGGATTTAGGTCACCCGAAAGTCTATTTTTAAAATGGAATAATCCCCCCCCCCCAATTTCATGGTGTACCGTATATCTGAGTTTGTAACAAAATCCCCTCTCACAGTCATATTTTATTAAAATATAAAATATTTTTATCATTTTCTTTAAAACTTGCGCTGTTCTTTAAAAAAAAGAAAGAAAATACATCATTTCTAGAGCGAACTATCTTTTAAACTTCTGTGATTTCTGAATTTTTGTTATTATTATTTATTTTTTTAATATTATCAATTTAAAATTCCAGCTGAGACAAGCCAGTGATTCGTGAATTTTTTTCATTTCGAAATGAGAACCGAAAAATCAGGATTATTTCTTTCCTCCTCCGATATGCAAGAAAAGTATCTTTAAAATATGATTCTTCAGAAAAAAAGAAAAAAAATTCTTTGCTTTTGTATTTTTTTTGCCAGCTATTTTATTGCTTCAACTCTTTCTTTACTCTGTTTTTTTAAATTTAAAATAAATATTTCAAGATGCAGAGTATAACAGTTTTGGGTATATCTATCATTTCAATTAATGTTATTATGCTTTTTTTAAATTTATTGTTGTGTTTTCGTCGGAGAAAATAGTAACTTCATGAAGTCATGAAAAATTCTTGGAATTAGTCATGTAAAATCATGAATTTGAAAATCTAAAATGTAGCAGATACCCTTTATTTCTTAATACACATGTATTGACTTGTTTTTGGTTAGATAACTAACTTTAGAAAGTCAGTGTCTTACTAGCATTCAATACTAGTGATTAACAGAGTCCTTTTGGTGTAGATTTTTATTATAGTATATATAAACAGACTTTTTATTAACAAATATAATGTAAAAAATTTAAAGGATGCATTTTCAGTAGTGGATTATTTACATCAATCCCGCAAACTGCTCCAGATAAACAAAACTAATTCATCTAATGAGAAATAGTTTGTGTAAAAGCTAATTATTAAAAAAAATAGTCATAGAATTTGGAAAAATTTTAAAACTTTACTTAGAAAAGTAATTGACCTCAAAAACATACTCCTGAAGTGCTTAATAAATAGAAAATATCTATTCAAGTTGTTGCAGAAAAATTAAAGAAGTCTACGTAAAAAAATTTATTTGTACTTGCCTGAAAATTATTTTTTGCAACCTTTGTCTTTTTTCATGTTACATATTAATTTATATAAAAACTAATTGCAACACATTACTAACATCTTTACTGGTAAAATTTATTCATAAATATAATTGTAAAAGAAAGTACAAGGTTCTTTATAATACGACTGGCTTTGGTCGTTTAGGTTCTTTTAATTTCATTTTTGTCTATATTACATTTTTCTACTCTAGTTGATGTTTCTGTGTAATTAGTTCTTGTAATTGATCATGTTTTATGTAATTTGTCTAGTCCATGTTTCTGATTTAATAATTAAAATAAGAGGAAAGTACATTAAAAAATAAATTTTGCATTTCAGGGCATGTTCTCGCATTTTTTATAACAATAGAATTTTTTAACTTTAGTAATTGTTTTTACTAAAGAACTAAATATTACTGATGTTTTTAAAGGTCTATCTTATACATTATTACTGTTGAAAGGAAGAATTATCTGAAAATTAAGTTCAGTAGGTGCCACAAACAATTTCCTTCTTTTGTCCGGAAATTTGAATTTAAAGGGTACAACAAAAGTTTTAAAATAAATTAACTTTTGAAATTGGAATCACATTATTAAACTTTTCTAAGTATTATAGCATGGATTTTTCTTATGGCAATTTACTGTAAATTTAATTGATTTGCAAATTTCACATGCAATTATTAAACATAATGATATAATATTCTGTAAAGGGTCCTAACACCATTTTTCTACATTAAAGCTTAATTGTTTTTTATATATTACCAATCAAAATATGCTATGATGCGAGAGTGACAATGTTTCTGTGAATGCTAATATGTTGATTTATATTTTAACTGTTAAATTCAAATACTATCTTTCTGTAAATCAAACCTTGATATCTAAGAGTTTTGTTTACATCTCATGTAAATGTACGGAATTTTATATTTTCATTTACAGGTAATTTACAATATTATTCCGATGTTTACAATATTATTGTTGAGAGAGAACCTACTGGCCTGGGTCTAAGTATTGCTGGAGGGAAAGAATCTACTCCATACAAGGGGGAAGATGATGTAATATAGTGTATCAATTTTATTTGACTAATTTTTTCTATTTTGTTTCATTCTTCTAATTAAGCTTTTTTATAGGGAATATTTGTTTCTAAGATCATAAAAGGAGGACCTTCAGATAAGGCTGGATTAAAAGTAGATGATAAGATTTTAAAGGTAAATCAGTAACTTTAGTAATTAAATTAAATAACATATAATTTTTCAGTTTATTTTTTAAAGAGTAGTAGTTAAAAACTATTTGCATTTTTATCATAATTTGTTCTTTTCTTAAATGATAATTACTTAATGTTTTATCTTTAAGGGATTAAAATAGTATAATATTCCTTTAGTATATTGTTTATATAAATTATAAGTCATAGTATACTTCATAAGTCATTAAACTTTTCTGTAAGCATTAATTAAAAAAATTTATTTTGGTAAACACTGTTTTATTATATCTCATTTTTTCAGAATATTTAAATCCTATATAAATTTTTTAACTCACATAATTGTCGTGTAAATAACAAGACAATGCCATCATTTCTTTCTTTTTTTTTTGTAGGTCAATGAAATACCATTGCTGGATATTGACCATTATACTGCTGTTCAAATCTTGAAAAATGCAGGAAATAGTATAAAATTCACTGTTCTTAGAGAGCGTGAGACAAACTTAAAAGAAGTAAGATATTAATAACTGCATACTAACTGGCTATTAATATTATGTGTAAAAATTAGGTTCTAAATGCTGTACAAAATATCGCTGTAGAAAGTTTACTATTGTGAATGTTTTATTCTTAGAGTTTAGTTCTTTTTATCAATTGTATGTTAATTTTGAATCTATACTTAAAAACTTAACATTTTATTTTTATGAATATTTCCTTGAAATTTTAACTTCTTTGCAGTTTTGCACAGGGTTTCATAAGTTTTATAGTTTCCTATTTATTCAATGTATTACATAAAATGTTAATTTATGTCGTGTACAAATACCCAAAAATTGATTGATGTGTTTTTTACTTCCTTTTCAACAGAATATTTTTATAATTTTTTTTTATGGAAATATTTTTACTCTCTACATTGTAGCAATATACTTATGCTTTTGTTTACCACTAGCTTCCTTCATTTTTATACAGGGGATTTTATATTCTCCCATAGTTGAACCTCACTTCTTTTGCATTAACATATTTTGCCAATTTTCTTGAAAAAACACTCCCTTTTATGAATTTTTATAACCTACGTTATGCATTCAAACATCATTAATAATACCTTTCTCTTGCATCTTTGCTAAAGAAAAATAATCTTAAAATGTTTTTAACTCTGTTTAAATTTGATTTAAATATTTTTATTTTACTTTTTACACTTAGAAGGATTATCTGCTTGCTAATGTGCCAAAAGATGTTGCAGATTGCCAACATAATGCTATTACTCAGATGCATAACAGCATTGTAAGCCCATCAGGAGAATCAAATAACAAGTTTAGAATAGGATATCCTTCAGAAACTATTAATAAAGTTCCAGTTGTAAGTTATAATCCATACTGTGACAAAGGATCTGATTTTCACCAAATCTCCAATGGACCATCGTCTTCCTCCACATTTCAGCATGAAAATAAACTGACAGCATTTATTCCTGAGATGACATCTACACCTACAGTTTTATCTCGAGCTTCTAGTAAAAATATTCCTGATGTTGTCCAACCGTCTACAATAGACTCGGTTATTCAAACAGCTGCATATGATACTAAGGACAAATATGTTGGCCCTGTTGTTAAAGTCACGATTCAAAATCCACGTCCTTATGTTCCTTTATCACCAGATTTACCTCCTCTCACCAAAAATATGGGTAAATCTTTAGAGACTCTCACAAGGTCATCTTACAGTGAAACCACTCTCACAAGACTCACTAATAATTCATCATCATCAAATAAGCTTTTAACAGAAGTAAGTTTTTCAATTATTCTTAAATAACATAAGCCTACAAAAATCATTGTCCTACAAATCTTAAGATTTCTGTAAATTTTCGGGCAGAAAATCTAAAAATGTGTAGCATTACCTGCAACTTTAAATCAAATTATTTAGTTGCACTTAACTGCATTACATAATTAAAACTTGTGCTTAGTTCAGAAATAAAAATTCATGCATACCACCATAAACTTATAACATGCTACTTTGAACTAAAATTATTAGGTTATTTTATTAATGAAGATTTTTTTGAGGAAAAGTTGCCATCTTATTTCTTAATTGTATGGAAACATTACTTTTTATGCTACTTTAACTTAAATAATATAATCAAAAATATGAATAAAAAATTGATAATGAGTATTATAACTTGTAATAGCTATAATCAAAATTTGTTCTAAAGTATATCAAGAACATTTTCTATGAAATTAATTATCTTTCTTTCTATCTGAATTATGTCAACTAGAATACAAATGAATCTATTTTTATAAAACATACTGAGCTAGTTCTAAGATCAAGCTTTTAATTTTTAACATTTAAAGCAAAGTTTAAACTAAGCTGGAAAATAATATTATGAAATTGTATATAATTTCATGCTCTAGAGTAAAATATTTAAAAAGTCTTAGAATTTTTTTTTAATTTCGGTTTTCTGAATTATTAATTTTTGTACTCTCAGTTTTGAGCAAATTATATTATTAATTATGTTGACACAGCTATCAATTTTAGGAAGTAGTTTTAGTAAGGTCTAATGGATCGCTTGGACTGAGCATCATGGGTGGTTGTGACCAATCTTGCTTTCCATTTGGTGAAAATGAACCTGGTATTTTTGTTTCTCGGGTAAGTTTTGTTCAACACATTATTCCAATATAAATCCTAACTTTTCTTAGTATTCATTATGATTACAAAGTAAAATCGGTATATTTATCTTCATTGATATGGTTCTTTAGTAGTTGTCCAAGATTTCTATTCATCTCTATAATTTTGTAGTTTTTAAACCTAACTTATAAAGCAACAAAAATGGGTTTTCTAATATTTACATAAACTTGCTTCTGTAGAGAACTTTTATTTTACTAGCATTATATTGGAAATTGACGCAAATTAGAATCGATGTGTAAAAAACTCTTATATTGGAATATAAAAACAGTATATTGATCTTTATAATATCTTTAGAACAATAAAAAGATTTTTGCTTAACATATTTTGCCTATAATTTCAAAAGGAATTTTTATGTTATGTGTTGTTGACAAAAAAAATTAAATTTCTTCTTAACAATGTAGCTTATTTACCATATTGTAGAAGTAATGAAGGTTATCATAACTCTTACTATGTTTCATTTTTGCAGTTCTGCTTTTAATTCATATCATTTGGGGTTTAGACACAGAAGTTGTGTTATAGTGAAAGTCATAGTCAAATATTATCAAAGAAAAAGGAAATGCTCTGATAGATTATACTTTTGGAATCAGAAAACAAAAATTAAGTTAAGAAAATCAACCTTAATTTGTTCTCTTACAATAAATATTTATAGATAATAAAATAATTCTGATATGACTCCTTTTCATCCATATTTTGATCGTTGTATTGATTAAATTTTTTTAGTAAAAACAATCAACTGTTGGTCAAAACATCGGAAATGCGTGTTGTGCCATGCAAAATTCTATTTGACCACGGCACTGATATAAAATATCGCTAGCATTTAAATAAGTCATGGACTTGAATCCGATTGCTGTTTGGCTGACCTTAAACGTTTTTTATGATTTATGTTATTATTTATCCAAAACAAAGATTAATAGCTTAACGCTTTTATTTAAAAAAAAGTCTTCCATTTAATCAATTTGATCCTGGCTCAAATTAACAATGCCTATATCAATATCTTAAATTCTCTGAATAATTATCTGAATCATTAATGAGCATGTAATTTAATTTAATTAAATTGGATCACATGCTCATCAATGGTGATAAAATAAATTTAAAAAATATAAATAAAATTTTAAGATAAACATTACTTTCTTAAAAATTATTTGCATGTATTATTGCAATTTTCAAAGATTTTGTAATAGTCTTGCTGCCATTGTTTAAATAACATACATATGTGATGTGTGTGGGTCTAAATATTGTAACATTGTATGTAGTACTGTGACGTATGTTGATTAAATTTTGTAATGGAAATGTTTTCCTAAAGAACTGCTTATCAGATGCTTATAACATTCTTATTATTTTTGTATCTTTATTTTCAAACTTATTTTATAGTGATATTATGAATTTTAGAGCCTTTTTTGTCATATTTTTCTCTGACAGATTGCACCAAATGGAATAACTGCTAAAACAAAGAAAATACGAGTTGGAGATCGTATTCTTAAAGTTAGTTTGAACTTTTCTTTTGTGTGTTTTTTTTCAAACTGTTATTGAAAATGACCAGGATTAACTATTTCAAATAAAATAATGTTTAATTTATTGTTTTTTTAGGTTAATAATATTGATTTAAATAAAGCTACCCATGCTGAAGCAGTAACTGTTCTATGTGCTGCTGCTAATGAAGTAAAACTCGTAATACGCCATGATCCTCTGCCAACCGGATGGCAGGTAAATATGTTTACACATGTTTTATTTTGCATTTTAATGTTTCAATTATGTGGTAGGTTTAAGTACTGAAATTTAAAATAGTTTTTGATGTTTGCCTTTTTTTTTCGTTCACTGTTCTTATTGCAGTTATTTCACCGTAAAACAATTAATGTTTCAAAACCTTTTTAATATAAAAAATGGGATTTGTATTGCTGATAAATGTGAAAGGTAGTAGTAAATTGTTATTTTTTTATTTATTTTTGTTTACTTTATTTATTTATTTTTGCTTTGCTAGATTTTTTTTAAATTGATCTTTCAAAAATTCCATTTATGATTTTAATAGAAGGGAGTCTAATGTTTCTATTTTAAGGAATACCATTACTTTAATCCTTCGTGTAAAAGTAAAATTAAGTAAATTTTTATAAATGGTGGAGATTTTTTATTACAGTCCTACTTTTGTTGATTAATTAAAGTAATTCATAAATTTAGGATGATTCTTCCAAATAAAATATTTTAAAAAATTGTTTCATACAATAGTAAACCTATGGTCTACAAGCTAAAAGTGACTTGTTAGACTTTTTAAATGCAAACTCCCTAAAGACGTTAGCACAAATTTCTCATTTAATAAAGCTTCTTTTATAATTTTGCAAATTTATTTGATAAATACATGAAGATTGAATTCAGTAATATTTATTCTCATTTATTTATATTAAGTGCATGGAAAATAGTTATTCTTTGAATTTGAAAAATATGTCTAAAAAATGCAAAACAGTTCTGTTTAATCTTTTTTTTATTCATTGTTCTTAAATAAATTTAAAAAAGTTGCAGAGTTGTTGCCAGAAATATTTCTAAATTATTGAAAAATAACAAAGGTTACAGAAGTCATTATTTCATTCTTTAATGCAATGAATAGTATGAAATTATTCTTAAGAAATAAAGATCCTTCAGGAGGAACAGTGTTGAATGATTTTAACTTTACAAAAAATCAAGGAGGTGATCTGGATTTCAACAATATTATGAAGTAGAACAGCCAAAAAAGTTTCTTGATTTCATTTACATTTTTGTGCTTATATTTTTTAAACTTTGTATTTTGTATCAGCTTCTTTAAATCAAATTTGGAAATGTCCTTATTGTTTCTAAACTTATTCAAAGCATTTTAAGATAAGAAGTATTTACTGTTCTGGGATATTACTTTTTATTTGCCCACGTCATTTCTTTTTCAGGTTTACCTTCTTTATTTGTGGGTCAATTTTCTCTAAATAACTTGATTTATTCTGCAATATTCCTGTTTTATGGAATAAGTATTAAGTTAAGCTAGCTTTCTTACTGAGTAATTGTAATAATCTTCTCATAATAAAGAAAAAAGTCAAGTCTTGAAGGCTTAGGAAAGTTTCATTTTTATTTATATCAACAAATAATATTTTTGAGTGATTGAATTTTAAATTAACTTTGATTTTTGATACATTTAAGTTACTGTTTTGTTTATAACAATAGGAATATGAAACCATGTTAAATTTCTAGACAAGATTCAAAATAGTTATATTATAAACAATTTTTGATAAAAACGTATATTTTACTTTATTATTTGATCTTCTGTTAGATTTAATTAGTATCTCTAATATTAATTTACAGGAAGTAAATATTTTTATGGAAGGTGATGAAGTATTAGGCATTGAACTGGGAGGAGGCTTGAGTGGTAGCCATGCAAATCCTTATGATTACTTTGATGAAGGAATATTTATGACAAAGGTAACTATATAACGTCTTGAAAGATCTACTGATTTGATTTTTAATTGTTATTTTATATTAACCTTTTTTATTTTAGTTCATTTTTTGTTTAATATCAACATTTTATAAAGGTTACTATGCCATCACATCTCATTTTTTACACACTTCACTAAAATGTATAAAAATCAAACAAGGCTTTTGAAGATATAGTTTTAACCATTCAATTGTTGACTTTTAGTTCAGCTTAGAATAAAACCTGGTTATTTTTCTTCAGAGGAAATACACAGTAAACATCTTTTCAAATCTTCTAAGCAGCTTAAGAGATTAACCTGTTTTCCTAAAATTTTTGATTGCCATGTTTTCTTCAAATTTTCATGCTAATAATTTTTAATCATTTTACTTTATAAAATGTTTTCAATTACATTGTTATTATGATTTTACAGATTCATCCCAATTCAGCTGCTGAGAGAAATGGTAAACTAAAAATTGGTATGAGAGTTATAGAGGTAAGTTACTATAATGTAAATAAGAGACATATTTGGTTAAATTAAAAATAGTAAGATTGTTTTTCGGAAAAACGTTGTATAATTAGTCATTTAGAAATAGATTACTTTTAATTAAAGTATTATGTAGATTATTTTAAGAAAACAATATAAAATTTTTATAGTCAGCTCTAAAATAATAAACAAGCTTCAAAGTAGAAAAAGGATGAAGTGTAAAATTTACTAAAGTACTGGAATGCATCAAGTTGGAACATTGCTGGATTTAGATTTTAGATGCTTTAGATTTCTCAAAATAAGCCTGTTTTTTTAAATGAATTAATTTGCTTCACATAATTAAAAAAAACATTTTACTTGTATTTAAGCTTTAATGTAGCTCTCATACATGTCTTAAAATTGTTTAATTAAGTATATGAAAGTAAATATCTGTATGGTCTTACATAAATTTATTCTTTAGGTACTGAGTAAATGTAGAGTCAATAACTCTTTGATTTATTAATCATAAAAATTTAATAGCTTGAATTCATTGTACATAAATAATTTTATCTGCATTATGGCAACATATTGAACAAAAAATACTTAGAATTCAGTTTAATGATCTTTTGATGGACTATGGGTTTTTCTAGAAGTTTTCCATGTCAATCTTTTGCTCAAAATAATTGTTTTCAGTTTTTGACCTTTAAGATTTGTGAGCCTTAAAGCTCAATACATCTGAGTTTGAACCAGCTCTAAAAAGAGTATCTGCAGGCCTAGCCAAAAATATTTTTCTTGTATTGCTGTTTTCTTTCATTCACATTATATGGCTTGTTCATTTGATCCTTTGAATTTTATGCTGAATAGTAGTTATAGAGTTGTTTTGGATGCTTAAAACAGCTAATATATGTTAAACATGAATATCAAAGGAGTAAAGGAATCTACAATTTTAAAAAATGTCAATTTGAGAAAATGTTTATTCTATCCCTACGTTGATCAATGCAAAATTATCAATAACCCAATCATTTCTATGATTTTAAACTTATACTTTTACAGCAGTGTTATTAAATATGCTATTAATATACATTGATCTCAAATGTTTAAAGAGTTGATATCAAATGTTGTAAAAAAAAAATTTTTATTAAAGGAATTTGACAGTGCTATTTTCTGTAAGCCAGATTATAAACTTTTTTGACAAAAGAAATTTTTTATAACTCTTCAAATCTATTAAAGTAGTTTTTAATTTGGCAACTTCCATTTGTGTATTATAAATTACCATTTACGTGTATGTAAAACTTCTTACTTGATATAATTTATAAATATAATGTATTTTTGAAAAGAATACTTTTCTTTGGAGCAACAAAATTTCTCCTAATTAGCATTTAAAGTTTAAAGCTCAAAATTTTAACTTAAACAGTAATGTGTACAGCTGATCTCTATTTTTTTCTCTATTTGCATCAATATAAATATAATGATTCGGAATGTTTTAACTAAAGTGACCACATTTTCATTGAGACAAAGCGGGACAAATGGGATGAAATGAGAATTACAATTTAGTTATATATATTTTATTGTATACATTTATATACTTGTACAAAAATATATTTATTATTAATTATTGGTAACTATAAAAATATTTGTAAAAAATAATAATTGGAACATCATGATTTTTAATCAAATGAAATTTTTTATTTAAAAAAATTATGATTTTCTTTCATGGTCATATTTTTGATCCTAGTGAATACTTTGCAATAGATTTGGATAATTTATTAAAATGTCGTGAAATATTTCGCATGAATTGGTCAAATTATATTATACACTTAATATAGATTTTAAAGTTTTAATGTTCAACTGCGTTTTTTCAGTTGTACATATTTTATTGATACTAGAGAAAACACGTTCTGTTGCTGCATTTGCTCCTGGAAGAGAGATCACAAATTCTACAATTGTCAAAATATTTTGATAAGGAATATTCTCTGTTTAAAATGAAGGAATAACTCCGTCCATTTTTGTCTGTTTCCACATTTGCAGACAACCGACATTTAATTTTTTCATCTGTAACATATCTTTTTACCAATGACACCTCATCAAAAAGATCAATTTCGCAAATAATGTTTTTCGGAAAATGGTTACCAATATATTCTAAAGATTTTTCCACATATTCCCATAAAATCTCCTTTTTCAATGTCACCCAATGAAAATTTTTATTATCTTCGAATTAAACTGTCCATTCTTCAAGATATTCCAAGCAGTTATTATAAAAGTTTTTGACATGTTTCAGAAACTCAGGTAGTTTAATGGCACCTTGTTCTTCCAACCAAGTGATGTCTTTTCAGATAATTAAAGGAATGTAATCGTTATCAATTCTTTCTCATAATTTTGTTTTTAAATTATTGATTTCACTTTACTCTTCCGTAATTGAAATGTTGTCCCCTTCAATAATTTTCGCAGCATTGTGAAATAATGTAGCTTGGTTGTGGATGAACTGAAGAAAAATTTGTGATGTGTCATTTTCAAAAAAGAGCTGCAATATTCTTGGGCATTTATCTTGTAATAAAAAGTATGATTTTAATGGTTCGTATATTTTTAAAATATTTTCTACAGCTGGTAAAAGAGCTAGCCATCATGTTTAGCTGTAACCAAGAATTCTTATATATTCACTTTCACAAAAATCCTTCAAACTTTCAACACGCACAGTATATACCTATAAAAATATGAAAACATTTTTGCAACAATATTTTCAACATCAACTAGAAGTAAGTCAGATGCTGTTTGAATAGTATTATGTAAAATGTGCTATGCACATCCTAGTCCAATAATTTTTTGGTTCGAATGCTCGTTAAGTTTCGTAAAAACGTTATTGATGCCTCTTCTAGCTTTCCCACCAAAATTTGCGTTAGTGTTATCTGCACAATAGGCAATAATTTTATTGTTCAAATTATTATTATTTAAAATAGTACTTATTGAATCAAAAATTATTTGTAAAGTTTCACCCTGCAATGAAATGAAATCTAATATTCTAATTTTAATTCCTGTTTCTGGATCAAAAAATTTAACAATTGTGGGAAATAATTTTAAATCTTTGTGGTTGGAAGCATCAGAATATAGGGATGCACATTTTTCTAATATTTTCTGCAATTCTGAAAATGGATATAGTGAAAAAATATCACAAATAATTGCTTCAGTTTCTGTCCCTGCACATGCAAATTTGTTGTCGTATAATGTTTTGATCATTTGCGAGGTACAATCCATTGATCCGAAACTTTGATTGTGGCTTATGGTGCGGAAAACAAATAGCCCTTCCGCTAATGCTAGCTGTTCTTCCGTGTTGCCGAAGCTAAGACTGCAAAAAAACTGTTCCATCTTAGACGAGGAAGCGGCATTATTCAAAAATCTTTTGTGCCTCTCTGTCACTAGATGTTTAGTAATATCGTTTTTTCCACCATGTGAGACTGAAATGGAAATTCTCTGCTTAGCTCTTCATTAAATTTGCATTCTCTTTTTTTCTCATCTTTTATTCTGTGGGTAAATACTGGAATTAATTAAAAAATTTACTACAAAGGCTAAAAAAGAGTATTAAATTTTACCTTATTGACCGTTACATTGTGGCGACTATCTAAATTAAGCCGAGACATAAGGACAATGATCAAACACCACTGAGTAAATCTAAGTCGTTACAATGCCTAATTTAGTTTATTCTGCATGTATTTTATGTATTTTTTATTTCTTTATATTCACCATAATACTTAATAAATAATAGGTTATATATTTTTACAGTAGATTTAAAATAAGAAATGCAGATATTTTCTAAAAAGCGGGACATATTGAAAAAGGAGCGGGACATGGGACAGTCCACCAAAAAGTGGGACTGCCCTGCCGAAATCGGGACGTGTGGTCACTTTAGTGTTAACAGCCTTCTGATCATAACTATAAAGTATAAAAAAATTACTTATTCATTTTACTGATCATTCATTTGTAACTAAAATAGTCAATAATTATAATAATTTTGTATAACTATAATAAAACTGAAATAGTAATAATTTTTATTCAGATTTCTTCTTTTTTTAAACCACCTGATCAGCTATGAATTTCCTTAAACAATCTGAATACTTCACTAACTAAAAATGTTTTTTAAAAAAAGGAGGCAAATAAAATGAATGTCTTATCTTGGTAAAAAGCTGCAAAAAATAATTACTTTGTCCAAAAACAGAACTATGCATTCTTTAAATTAGTTTTCAATTGTTTGTTTCCAATTGTTAATCTTCAGAAAGAGCTGTAAAAAAGCCATTATTAATTATTTAATTTTTAAGTACTAGTAAGTAATTGTACTTTTTAAACATTGTAGCTGTAATATTTTATAATATTGTGAAAACAGAAAATTTTTTAAATACATTTCATGCTTTATAATATGAAATAAATAATATATGCATATGTTTTTACCAACTCCTTTTTGTAAAATTATCTGAATTATGTTAACTCTTAAACTTATAATTTTATCACTTTTTATAGATATGCAGTATTTCTGTTCTGGGTGCTACTCTTGAAGAAGCATATAAAACACTTGAAAGTAATGCTGGATCAGTATCTATAATTGTATGTGATGGATTTAATTCACATTTAGATACATCTTACTCCTGTTTACCTGCCTCAAGCTCAGTAACTATCAATTCAGTACCATGCATAGATAGTGATGATGAGGCTGTTGAAATATTCCATCCGGTAATACTTAAATTTGCATTTGCATTGTCTTGTATTTAATAAAGTCTAGATGATAAAAGGTGTTTGAACTAAACCTTATCTATGGTATTTTTAGCTCATATTGCTGCTATGTGCCAGAAACACATAGCAGCAATATGTCTTTAGCATATGGAGAACAATTTGCGTCCAGGCAGTATATTACCAGATAGACATAATAACTTATGTTCTGCCCTATCTCTTTTTTTGTAGAGGTAGTGAAAATTACTTCTGTTATTGACATTTTCACTTAAAAAATATTGGTCATCACTCAACAACTTGTATCTACGTTTTCATTTTCATGCTCACATCAAAAATATGTCAAATCATCAAAATACATATTTATAGCTTATATATAAGTCTTATTTTTTAGTTCATTTCTAAAGTATAGTTTTAGGATTGTTTGATGCATCATGTAGTTCATATTTCTTTCTTTTAATGCAAGCAAAAATATTTGTTGTTGAATTTCAATTAAAACATAATAGACGTAATTAATGCTTTATTTATTTTAAATAAAGTGTTGATTATAGTTATCAGTTTTATATATTTTTGACCCAATCAAGTGAAAGAAGAATACTGCACTTTATCATAGGACTTTTTATTTTTGACTGTTTATTGATTTTTTTAAAAAAAGAATAACTCATGAATTTCAAAAATTTATAGTACACGTACCATGACCTTATTGTATTACTCTTACAAGCAAGCAAAATTATTTGAAAATAAGTTATAAGTTTACTTGTATTGAAAGAAAGTAAAAAAAGTTCAAATAAATTATTTGAATGTCAAACAAACGTAATTGGATTGATAATAAAAATGAGAAGTCATAAACTGTACTTCATAGTAAATTTTTCTACTTTTGAATGTTTATCACTTGTAAGTATAACCTTTCACAGTAAACCTTTCAACTGCTGATAAACAAGTTGTTTTTATTGTACTGTACGTCTTTGAAATTTATGTGAGTAATTCTTTATACAAAAACAATAATTTTTCAGTTTCATATAATTTAAGAGTTCAAAAGATGACATGCCATTTTTTTTATATCCACTGATAAAACAAAAAAAAAACACTTAAAAATTAAAGCACAATTTTTGATAAATTTTTTAAAAGCTTATTTATAATTCAACGTTTTTCTTTCTTCTTTATGTATTTCAACTGCTGTATGAAAAAATATTTGTGTTGAAGCTGTTTTAGTTTAATAAATGAATGTGAGTAAGAGAAGGTAGGTGTTTCAGAAGAAAAGAGTAATTTATTCAAAGTAGAGTAAGTGTTTTTTTATGTCATATTCTTTGAAGGCAATTTTGTTGGCAAACCCCTAGCAACTGCAAGCAAAGAAAAGTTACCAATGATTTTGAGGATAAGGTTAAGTTAAAGATAATCACTTATAATATATTATGACTTTTAATCTTGTATAACATGCTAATTACTCTGATGTATTTAATATCTGTCTTGACCTCAATTAAATTATTATCATGCATGGTCCATATATAATTATCCTTTCAATCATCATACCTAAATAAATCATTTTGCCTAGTTAATATCATTATAAGTTTTAATTATTCTTCTATATTTAATATCTGTCTTAACCTCAGTCAAGTCAGTGTAGTTAATGGGAAATAGTACTCCTTTTAATTAAGTTTTAAAATAATGCTATTTAAGTCTATATTTGTTATCTGTGTCTGAATTATCGTTCAATCTACTTGAAAATAATGAATATGAAACAATTGAACATAATTACTACTATAAATAGAACATATATATATATATATAATAACAGGGCAACAACCCCGTTAATTTTGATAGTGTTTTTAATTTACATAGTAGGAAACATAAGCCGATAGATTTTAACAGGCTTTATTTACTGGAGTACGGTGTAAACAGAAGTCTCACCCACTCTCCCAGCTGGAGGGTGGTGGACTAATATCAAGACAGTAGCGGCGAAGCTTAGGTTGGCGTCATCGTACAGCAAGAGACAAGCAAAGACAATTGCTCCTGCATTATATACTAATGGAAAAAAGGTGAAAAGGCTGAGTCTTGTAACCTTACGCATTAAGGAAAATCATTTAATGCTTCCTAATATGAAAGTAAAAGAGGAATAAGATTCTAAAAATAACTCCTCGTTTGAAATATAAATCTAATTATAATTCAATGGCATGTTTTCATCCTTGAAGTCCCAAAATAGAATATTTCTACGCTTATTCTTTAACAAAGACATTTTATGAAAACGAAAGAGTTTTAATGCTTTTATTAATACAAAAGTATTTATAATTTTTGTATTACATCCCCCCCAAAAAAAAATTTTGGTAAGCCAAAAATAAAAAAATTTAGAATACTTTAAATTTAAAAAATTTAGGTTGGTATGACTGTTCCTTTTCCCTACTACAAATAACATTTTTTCAATTATGTGTAAAAAAATTTATTTACAATGACAAAAATAACAACATGATAATGTAATTTATCTGTTTAGTCAACTAAACAGAAAGAAAGAAGAAACATGTTTATATAACTATTCTACTAAAATTTTCAAAAAAATTTTTCACACAAAAATATACAAAACTTTTATGCAAGCGAACTGGACAACAAGTGTCATTTAATCAGAATTTAAGATTCTGTGTGGTTAAGGGCTTGATGAAAATCTGTATTCCCCGTTAAAATGGAGGAAAACAGAATTTCATGAAGCAGAGTGATATTGAGAGATCCAGACAGGTCTATTCAAAAATAGTTTATATAATTTTTCTCATCTTGTTGTGAGAAAAAAAAGTTCAACTTCCATCGCCCTCACATCCAAATAATGCTGAGGTAAACATCTCCACATGCGATTCGGATCTGGATCTCACAAAAAAAATAGGGTTTGCTTCTTCTGTTGAAGAAAGTAAATAAAAAATTATTTTCCTTTGGACACTAATCATGACTTTGAAGCGACGTGACATCACTCATTATATTCTGCATTAATTGTTTTTATAATTAAGTAAGAATTTAAAGTTGTAGTTAAAACAAACTTAAAGTTCATAATTAATTATAAAAACAATTAATGCAGAATATAACCATTCATTGCGCTTCAACTTAATTTCAACATTTGTGGGCTGTGATATTTCCTAAGCTTTGATACATGTACTATTTCAAAAATTTGTTTACTTAAATTATTCTTTTAATTTATTTTGTAATTAGCTTCTTGGTCATTCTTTCTTTTTCTTTTTGTTACCCTTTACCTTATTTTTTTTTCATCATTTTTAACCTTAACATTTTGAGAATTCTGCTGTCTAATATGCAAAGATAAGTTGTCATTGTTAGAATTAGCAGAGGTGATCAGTCTCTTACCAAATTGAGTAACAACTGACCCGACACAATCAATAAACAAACAAAAATCTTTGCAAGTTTGCAATCCTAATAAAGTATATGGTAAATCAGTATCAAGTATAAAAACTTAGCTGAGTTAACAATTTCGCCTATCTTAAGGGGAAACTCACAAATTTTGTTAAGTGTTAAATGTCCTTTTGTTTGGATAACATTTAAGTTTTCACATTTTTTAATAGGAATATTTAGTTTTGACCAAGTCCGAAAAAGTAAATAAGTTTATTTGAAAACTCTTCATCATTAAATCCAAAAGAAAATTGTGAAAAATTTAATATTTTTCTAAGATTTAATCTTGATAAATCATTAGGAAATAAAAGTTTTAATAATAACTTAATTTTGTTTGCCGTCACTAATTTAATTGATGTTTGAATCACGTTTATTTCCTTTAAAAACATTTTAAATACACGATAAATACAATATTATATCATAATTTTTTAAAAAAAAGCAATATAAAAACAAGAAATGCAATCTAGCTCTTAAATATATTTCTCTATTCAATTATTCAGAATAAATTATTTAGGTCATTTGACATAGGTAATCATAAATTATCACTACTAATTATGAAGAAAAAAAAATATGCATTCTTTTGAAATAAATTTCTTTCCTTCTTCTTCACATGTATCGGTGTTTAAAAAAAACGTCACTTGATTTTAACACTGGTGTGCTTCATCACTTTACCAACAGGTATTTTTAGGACACCGAGAAGCAAATTTTTGTTGGTCATTTTATACTAGCACATATGTAGCTCTCCGTGATTTTCACACGCGTATGGCACTTTCACTTGAATTTGTTCACCAACACACATTCTTAATCTATAGGTGCTGACTCACTAACATGGATGATGTTTCTTCCAACTTAGATGAAAAAATTTTAGACATCAAGCGGTTTATGGATTAGACAAGCTCGATCCAACTTTCTTCTGATAACAGCAAGGTAGAGGAACAGACGGGGTGGGATCATCCTTCCTTCAATTTTTTCCCGGTGTCAGGGATGGGAACCTTTGGCAATTCAGCAGTAGTTAGGCTTAAGATTCAACTTATTGAAATTTGTAATAGTTTCCTCCAAAGGGTTTCCTCAGCGAAGCTAATATCCTGCGAGGCTTTTAATAACAGGGCAACAACCCCGTTAATTTTGATAGTGTTTTTAATTTACATAGTAGAAAACATAAGCCGATAGATTTTAACAGGCTTTGTTTACTGGAGTATGGTCTAAACTCTCCCAGCTGGAGGGGGGTGGACTAATATCAAGACAGTCGCGGCGATGCTTAGGTTGGCATCATCATACGGCAAGAGACACGCAAAAACAATTGCTCCTGCATTATATACTAATGGAAAAAAGGTGAAAAGGCTCAGTCTTGTAACCTTAAGCATTAAGAAAAATCATTTAATGCTTCCTAATATGGAAGTGAAAGAGGGACAAGATTCTAAAAATAACTCCTCCTTTGAAATATAAATCTAATTATAATTCAGTGGTATGTTTTCAGCCTTGAAGTNATATATATAAATATATACATATATATATATACATATATATATACTACATATATATACGTATTCATATACATATTTATATATATATATATCTACAGTCAAACCCCGCTATAGTGAACCTTCAAGGGACTGAAATCTCGGTTCACTATAACCGGGAGTTCACTATATCCATTACACAGGCAATTTTACTAATTGTTCCAAACTCCTCTCTTTTATTACACATTATTCAAATAAATGACTGAAAAATATTATATAGTAACAAAAAATGTGTTATTTTTTATTACTCTTCGTCTTGCGCACAAAATAAAATTAGCTGATCAGCAATCCTAAACATCACATATACAAAAACACTTCCCGTCTCTCAGATTATTTTTCCTGAATTTCTGTTATTCCGCTTTTTAAACTGTCTAATCTGCCATTCGAGCACATAAAAGTGATCTCACAAAATCGCTTAGCAAATTCATCAACAAATGTCCAGATACTGGAAAATTGCAGCTTCTTCGAATTCTGAACCACTTCATGCTTCCTCAACATCCTTGTGATCTGCTTTTTAACTTTTTTCTGCCATCGAAATTTTTTTTCATGAGAAGAAATTGTTAATTGCCTATTTTTCCACATGCTACAAACTGTAGATTTGGATAGTTTGTGTTCCCTGCAAATATCAGCTTGATTCCATTTTCAATTACTTGATTCCATTTCCATCTATTTTCAATTTTTCTGATTATGCCCATTTTATCATAAATGGAGAACGTTTTACGTTTAATGCTCTCCATAGTTAACTTTGGGACACTTGTTTGCAGGAATTTTTTAACTGAACTGAGAGCAAAAAGGAGATGAAATGAGGGCCTTATCAACACAGATCAGCGTCCAACCCTTTGACCAATAATGAATAATTACTCATTCCCTCTGACAGAAAATGCATATTGATCCCACTGACACCTTACAGGTGCATCATTTGCCTGGGTTGGAAACATCTGCTTGGTTTGTTTAGGGATGGGAAAGTGAGATAAAAAGTAGCAATCAATAAAAAATGCTTATCGCTACATTCCCCTCTATAGCTGGTTTTAAAAATCAGTATATGTATTTATTTTGAAGTGGAAATTTCAAAATTATTACTAAGAAATTCAGAAAAAAAACTGTCAAAGACAGAAAAAAGTTCATTATATCCAACTTCCTCACTTTTTTGGTTCACTATATCCTCATAAAATAACATTATACATGTATAGCAAGGCACAGGACCAAACATTTAGTCCACTATATCCGGGAGTTTACTATAAACCGTGTTCACTATAGCAGGGTTTGGCTGTATATATATATATATACATATTATATATATATATATCTGTGTGTGTAGCATAAAAAGCTTCAACTGATTTTTTTTCAATGTTATTCCTTTATCTAAATCTTTTTTTCTATTTTATTATTTTAAACTAAATGCTCTTTCTCACACTTTAATATTCACATTCTGTCTTTTAATCTATTTTTAGCTTCAAGTTATGCATTAATTAGGATTTTTGATTTTGTTTACGTTTTCTCATAAAAAATTTCGATTTTATTTTATAACTTCTACTTTGTGTTTATATATATATATTCAGTTACATGTTGGTTAGGTAATTTTTGAATGAATTGTATTGGACAAATATTCTTCCAGGAAATTGTTATTACTTTTGTATATTGTAAAAAGTTTTACTTCCCTTTAAAGCATTAAACTTCATTTTTAAAGATATAAATTTTATTTTGTAGTCGAATGCAGACGTGTCCTGTGATAAAAGTGTTGATGAGAAGGTATTGGATGTCATCAGAGCAGCAGAAAATTTAGTATCTCCTTCACCTCAGATTTTTGTACAACCAACTTCTTCATTGAAAAAGAAAAGAACTACGACCATTGTTTTGTCAAAACATGTTGTTCATCAGCCATCCCTGGATGAAGTAAAGATATTTTAATTTATAAGCCTTAAAATATGTGTAAATTTAAATTTATTTATAAAAATAGACACATTATATAAAACATTCATTTACAGTAGTGGATGGAACAATTCAAACTTATTTATCCTATCAGAAGCATGTTTTCAGATATTTTTCAAAACATTAAGGAGTATAGTAAAAATGTCCAGATCATTAGAAAAACCATTCTAAACAATATAAAACCTGTATGAAAAAAAACTTGACGAAATTGAACTTACGAATTAGCATATCCTTTTTCTTTAGTTTATACTTGTATAGAAAATTTTCATCATTTTGAATAGTTTATATTTTTTAGTATATTATAAAGTTTTTAATCATAGTGAAGAACAAAATCATAAACTATATTTGTATGTGGCAAGATAAACCCACAAGAAAGATGAAAAGATTAAAACTACAAATTAGAAATTTATTCTCAAAGAAGAAGTAAATTTGGGGGCTGAAAAAAAATTTAAATTAGTACAAAGGTTGTGAAAAGATGCAAAAGCACTATATGCTCATCGGGTCAAAAAGAAAGAAAATGAAAGATAGAGTAACATTTTGAAAATTAAGTTACCTATATAAATTTTTAACAATGGCATAAATGTTCATTCTTTTAGGTTAGTGTTACACTGTACCCTCTATCTTAAAAGATGTGTTAGAACTACTCATCCATGGTGGTATGCTGCTGCCTAACATCAAAAAAATAAGCTATTGCAAGATTCTCATCAATAATTTTCAATGCATCTGATTGATTAAATTGTTTATGATTGTTTCACTTTATTATTTATAAATCATAATAACAAAACAAACGACCATTTTATATAAGGATTCATGGCAAATGCACAGGGATTAATCTTAAAAACCACTTCACAATACTATTGCTTTTCAATAGCACTCAAAATTCACTTCTTTAAAACCCATCAATTATGATTCCCTGTGGCCATGCAGTGCCATAAACTGTCATGCAGTTCCAGAAACTGCCACTTGCTCTCAATTTTCAATCAATGGAAAACAATTCACAGTGATGTCACTGATACAGGAACCTATAGCTAAAAGGTGGGAAGATGAGAAAATTACACAAATAAGACAAAATTTGTGTATTTAAGCCAAGCATTGTGTATTTAAGACAAAATTTGTGTATTTAAACAAACTACACAAATAAGGCAACATTTATATCTTTTGAAAAAAGTTGAATGTCAGTGAGATTAAGAACATTTACATTTTAAAGAAAAAGCAATTAAATTTCATTTGCAAAAGCAAAGCATGTTAAAATTTTTAAAGGGAATAAAACCTTGTAATAATAGAAAGTTATCACAATTCGACATATTAGAATTTTAAGGAGAATAAAACCTTATGATAGTAGAGCATAATCAGAACAGTACTATCTACCAAATTATGTAGAACTTAATGGAAAAATAAATAATAAGATAGATTAACACTATTCAAAGATTGAACATATTGTTTTATAATCAAACTACAACTATTCTTTAAATATGGAATGTCATAAATACAGGGTAATTCAGATGAATATTCCATTAAAATTTGCTATAATTATTTAATTAAGAAGAATTAATCAACAAAAATTATGAAGAATGTAAAGAGAAGTTCAAAAATTTGTTTATTTACTTCCTGACTGTTCTAACCCCGCTCCCCTTGATTTCACAGATAACATCTAATTAGTAGTCAATTGTATATATTCTGAAGCACATCTGGTACCGCCAGCAAAATGTGCATTTTAAGTTGCCTTTTCTTATGGGTTACATCAAAGTCCGTGTGCATGTACCTTCTTTGCCAAAAATAGTTCTAGAACTCAAAATATTTATTTTTAATGCTCTTTTGTTGGTGATTGCGAAAGCAGATATGCTTTTTTAATCACCAACAAAAGTTTAAGTGTGGCATGAAATGGACTGCCAATTAGATTACCGAAATGTATCAGATGTGAATAGTAAAATTTTGAACTTCCATCTAAATTCTATGTAGTTCTTATCAATTAATTCAGTTAAATAATTATAAATTTAATTCAATTCATTAAACTTTTCAGTTAAATAATTATAACTGTTGTAATTGCTTTATTCATTTTGAATAACTTTGTATTATAAATCTATAAACTTTTTAAAAAAACTCAGTGAAGCTTAGGTTTGTCTGCAATGTCTTAATGTCATTAAAAAAATTTAAAAAAGCAGTTGATTTATAACATTTGATTTTTTTAACAGGGAAGTTTTTTGTTTTTCTTTCCTTTTGCAATGGATTTATATAGTGAATATTAGCGATATAAATATAATTTTTGAGATATCAGGTTACCATGTGCTCTAACGAATAAGAGGCCTCTGACAAATGTAATAGAATGCAGTAATTAGTCAAGTCCAAATTTTCTGTTTATGTTAGCATTGATTTTTGACAATTTAATCACCAAGTTTATTACAAATTTAAGCACCTTGTTTTTAAATTATTCATTAATATGTTTATCAATTATTACATTTATTTTTCTTGCAGGGTTCTCAACCTCAATCATATCTTCCATATGAAGTTTAATGAAATATGAATAAGTAAGTGGTTTGTTTACATTGGAATTTTTAAACTATTTGCAATTTTAGTTTGTATCCTCTTGTTCATACTATTATACTTCATTTCACCTCAAGTTGGCACTACAGGGAATGGTAGGAAATGTAATACTACGTCATTGAAAAGTAGTTCCTTGCTATTTTGGAATTAATTACAATTTAAATAGGCGTACAAATATAAATAAATATTGTATAATAAGAAAAGTTTATCTTGAAACGTGTATTAGAAGTTTTATCATGTTTAAATGTATTTATCTTGTAAGTGCCTTCTCAGAAAAGAGAACTTGCAAAGAAGAAGGAGGTGTTTTAATTTGGGGGTGAATTAGTTTCTGATGTTGAGAAATTGGTGCATTGGCTATATTTTTGCACTGGTCGGCCAGCTCTTTCGAGTTTGCTTAGGTGTCATGCTATTATCATTTATTGCTATTATTGTTATTTATTGCTATTATTGTTATTTATTACGATTTTGCTACTTATTTATTGTTAACTTGTTTTTTTATAGTTATTGATAGTTATTTTTTTATATTAATTGTTAATTTTTTTGCATTAATTGTTAATTTTTTTGCATTAATTGTTAATTTTTTTGTGATTCCTTGTTATGTTGTTTTTTTTGTTGTTAATTACTAAATGTTAGCTTGTTTTTTTTTTGTTAGTTATCCTTTGTTCTTTTCTGTATCTTCATCAAAATTTTAGTAAGAATCTAGGTGTAAAAAAAATTGGCACTTTGCTTTCTGCAATGTATTCAAATACTGGCCACTTTCTCTCCTTTTTTTGCTGCCTCATTCCCCTAACTAACTTAAAGAGTTACCCAGTTTATATGACAGCGGCTGCTATCTAGTCTACCTACCTTTCTCAGCAGTGCCAAGTTGAGGTGAAATGGAGTATAGAGCTAATTGACAAAATATTTTGTATGATTACTTAGTTTGGAATTTAGTCTTAATTATTTTTTCTTCATTTTTTAATTACTTCCGATTTTTATTTTCTTATTTTCCCCTGATTCTGCTAATTATTTGGATTTAGTGGTAGAAAGATAATTTTTTTTTTGTTGTCTGATTAATTTCTCAAGTTATGATTCTTTAACAGTTACATTTTAGTTGTTGAAACACTGATCTAGATCGAAACTCCATAAGCCGAAGCTCTTACTAGCTGTTAAATTTATTCATTCATTTGGGAACTAGCTATTAATATCTGCATTTTTATTAATTGCTTAGAAAGAAATAAAAATATGAGAGGCAGAATATTTTTTTCCTACCTTTTATTTGAGAGAGAATAGTTATTGTGCTGATTTAGAAAAATTTAAATAGATATAATATGCATGTTACATTAAAAAAAGAAATGATAGTCATTAATGTTAACTTTTTCACAACAAAAATTTTAATCTCATAAATCCATACTAGGGTTTTAGCATTTTTATTGGATAAGAAGCAGCATTAATATCTATGACTTTATGAGAATAGTATAGTGTCTTCATTTTATTTTGAGTTTTGGAGTTATTCAAATTTTATATTGGTAGTAATTTTTAATTTTTAAGAAAATTATTAGTAACTATGTACAAATTATCAATTTTTAATGCTGCATAACTTATCCATTTAAAAGTATTTCTCTCACTACTTCATGTTTAATGACTATATATTAGATAATTAAAAAGTATTGTTGAAAACGTAAGAAGATAGTTTTGGTTTGAATAAATTCTGCATGCTTTAAAAACATCAACAATCATAAACTATTGGCAGTCATTACCTAATGTGTTTTGTTTTTAATGAGTTTTAACACTTAGATGAATTGCATAGTAAATATTAATTTTTGTACATTTCATTGAGAATTTATGCTGTAACTATTGCGGAAAATATAGTATTTTATTGCCATTGTTACATTTTTTTAATGTTATTAGGAAACAGTTTGTTATAATCTTAATAGAAGAATGATCATTTTGAAAAAATAGTTAACTTTTCAAGGATTGATCATCTTGGCAAAATTGCTCTAAGGTTTTCTTGCCACGAACTTCTTTACCATTAAAAAACTTGAGAAACTAGTTTTTTTATCCAAGAAAGCATACTGCTGAAAGTTTGGAATAAGTTGAGACTAAGAAGCAGAGGGTTAAATTATATTTACCTTTTTATTTCCAAGGGAACTTATTTTTTTAAGTTATGTTTTCATATAAAATGAAATTTTATTCCTAGTGGTAACAAATACAAAGTACTGTTGCTGTTTTATAACAATTTAAATAGAAAAATTGATGAATAGAATAAGTTTCGCTCAGAAAATAGGGATATTTTCCTTAGACACATGAATAAACTGTAGGTGTGTATCATTTTACCATAACATCATAAAAACATCATTTTACCACAAACTGTAATAAGTAATATGCCTTTATCTATTGTCCTACTTTTTTTCTGGGCATTCCCTGCATAGTGCAATTTATGGAATTTGCATTTTCTATCACAAGTTCTATAAAAAATAATAAACACCCCTTAAAGTTTGTAATTTTTTTAAGAATATTTGCTGCTTTTAGAAGCTTTAAGTAGGTTTTCTTACGGATACTAAGAGTAATTTGAAATAAGGTATGGTTTTAGAAAATTACTTACAGTTAATGTTTGAATGTGCTTCAATCTATATTCTCTATAGTCCAAAAGAAAATAGACATTATAATGTGAGGTCTCTATATTGTGACAACATGAAATTCGTCCTAATATTTACTTATATTTCATAAATGCTAGGTTTATTTTGGCCCAAACATGTTGTATTTATGTAGAATTATAAAACTGGCTAATATGGAGTTTTTTTAAGCCAATAAAGTATTATTTAATCTAGTACACTAAAGTTTAATAATGCATCTAAATATTTTCAAATAACATCTTTTAAATTTGTGCATAAACTTAAGACATTCACTCAGCAATTTTTTCTAGATTTTTAAACCAAAAGGGTATGATGTCTTGAAATTATAACACATTGTGCTTCAGATTTAACAATCACATTACTATTAACTTTAGCAATTAGTGTTCTTCAATCTACTTCATTTAAATTCTTAATTTCTGCTCTAAGCATATATTATTATACTGGTTGGGAACAACCATTTTTGCTAAATAACATACGTCCAGAGAAAAAGCAAAACTAAAATCAAAAAAGAATGTGAATAATACCACATGTTTCAACTCCAAAATCAATCACCTATTGCAACACTTCACAAAAAGAGTACTAAATACAATTTTGAAACAAGAAAAATATGATTGATGAATATATTGAACTTTTTGAAAAGAAATTTTAGAAGGTTATGATTATTTAGGAAACTCCAATTTCTAAATGTTGTTGCAATGTACACTTCAAATTCTCAATAATGATAAGTAATCTATATTTTACAATTCTTTTGACCATAGATTAAACCAAAGACCTCCTAGGCTTAGGAATATGTGGTCCTGTCTAGGACTGGGCTATAAATCAATGCATCGCGAAATATCGATTTAACACATATATCGTCTGGCGGATATAATGACTTTCGCTTTAGGCGATGCATCAGAAATCTAATTTAAGCTGCTGATAGTGACTTTCATTTTAGGCGATGCATCAGAAATCTGATTTAAGCTGCCGAGAGTGACTCTCATTTTAGGCGATGCATCAAGAATCTGATTTAAACCGTCATGTAAGACAACGCTCGCGGTTTAACGATTTAACATGTCAAAATACTTGCCTACACTAACGCTGTCACCGCGGGGACGAAGACTTTTGATTTCGTCTAACTGCGGAGGCGTTATTAGCGTCTAGCTACGAAGACGATGTTAGTTTCATGATGTTGAATAACGAAAAGCTCCCGGTTTCGTGCGATGATCGGCGTTGAAACAGAACGCTATGCATAGTTTCTTTATGCGCCATTTTTGTCTTTGGAAGTTTACTTTTTTTTAACATTATTTTCAGCTGGACTTACGTTATTTTGTGATCGCTGTGCACTATACTACTTAGCGATCGTTTCATTGTGCATTATTGCGTCACTTTTTCATCTTCTTCTTTTTTTTCTTCCTTTTTTTGTCTGTCGGTATTTAACGATTCTTGTAAAAAGAATTTAGTAGACCTACGGTCACTTGGCGATCTTTGCGCGATTGCTGTTATCTTAAATTTTCGTTCTGAACTCAATCTATTAATGAAAAGAAAACATGAATAAAAAAAAAAGATTCTTCATTGTTTTTTTTTTTTTAGTTATTGTTTTTCATTTTAAGCGATACAATTTAATAGGGGTATTTTGTATTTAACTTTGTTATAAAAAGTTTAGTTTTTTTTTAAATTTATTTAATGCACGTAAGTATAATAATTTGATAGAATTTTATTATTTTTAAACAAATAAATTTTCAGTGGTTTTTAATTTTACAAAAATTTGGCTATTAGTTAAAACAAATATATTTTTTATTGAATAAAAAGTTAAGCAATGTTTTGACCCTATTTAATAATTTAACAATAGAACTTAAAAGTATTTTTTTTAAATGTTTCTTAAAATACTTTCAATACTGGTTTGTTTCATAATTTGTTAGACAGTCTGTATCATTTTTAAACAAATAAATTCATAGTCGATTTTATTTTCGAAAAAGAAAATAATAATAAATAAATTGAAAACTTAAATTTATTTTTACATTTATTAAGTATAGAATTAGACCATTAGTTAATACAACTTTGTTATTTAAAATAAATAAGTTAAAAAAGGTCTGACAATGCTTCAAAGGCATTTTTTCTACAAATAATTTAAAAAACGTTTTACTAAAGTTAACATTTCTTTAGTTTGTTTGTTTTTCTTACTTTTTTTTTCCTTTTAATTTTTAATGTATGTATGTAAAATATTTTGTTAACTTTATTATTATTTTTAAACCAATAAATCTTAAGTCATTTTAAATTTTTAAAAAAATTAAAATAAAGCTTGAGTTTGTTTTTACTTAAGACATTTAGTTTTTAATAAATTTATTCCTTTTATTTATTTTTGATTAATTTAAGGATTTCTAATAGATAATTTTTGAAAATATGCTAAATCGCGATACATCGCTATACATCGATGTCTAACAGACAATGTATCACGATAAAAAAATTCTTACATCGCCCAATCCTAGTCCTGTCCCTCTTTCTTCCTAAATAGAGAATTCAAGATTTTTCATGTTTGAGCTGTAACATTAAAAAAAATAGTGGTTTGAATAGTTTTCTCAAAACTTTTGCAGTCAATTGACAGGTTTTCAATGGAAAAGTGTTAGTTTTGAAAACACAAAAATGTACACCTGTTTTTCGAATAATTTTTGGGTAATTAAAGAAATGGAAACAATTTTGTTCACTATATTGGAATAAACAGACGTTTTAATCGCTGTTAAAATGACATTCGTCTATCGAGCAGCAAAGGGGACTTCATGTAATGACCATTATAATGGAAGAGTTGCACTAAGGAGAATAAACTGTATTTCTATTTAATTATGTGTGTTATACTTCACTGCGTGTTGAGTTTTTAACTTTTGTTGTTTAGATTTTTTAATCATTTTTATAAATAGATATTTAGTTGAATTTATGCTTGGGTACTTTTTATTCTTAGGAGCACATCTTTTCACACTATCATTTTCATGTTCATTAAGCCAAGTGGTTACTGAAGACTGAGCATTCCATTTTTTTACTTTGAATAATATCTATATAAGTTTGTTTAATTTTTAAATATTTGAAGTATCATATTAGACAGTTTTCTGTGTGCAATTGTTTATTACTATTAATATATTATTCTCTTTCCATTTTATTTAAATATTAAGCTATCTTAGATTGAAATATATTTTTATGTTTTCTATAGATTTTTTTTTTCTGATTAATATATTTCTATGTCTCTACAGTGAAAAAGTGTGTTGTAAAAATTGTTATTGATTATCATTCTGTATACTGATTTTTAAAAAAAATATATTATCTTATGTTTAAAACTAATGTGTTAGGCTCTGTCTTTCAAGTATGTGAATTTGCATTTTCTTCTCATTTTTAAGAAAATTAAGACTAACCGTGTTGATTCTCTTGTCATTTTATTTTTTAGTTATATTGAAAAAAGTTAATATTTTCAGATTTTTAAGAATATTGTTAATGCTGAAAATTTGATTCTGAGATCAAATAAATGTGATAACTATCAAAGATATTTGAAGTAAATTTCTTAAATCCATCCTATGTGGAAAATCAGATTAAATTATTATATCTTTGAGTTCTGAGTTTTTCTAAATTTTAATCTAATTCTGCAAATCCTTTTTTTTTTATTAGAAAATATTACGTAACAAGAATAACTCTAAACTAACATTTTTTGTAATTAAAGTATTAATTATATTTTAAATTTCTCAATTATGAATCAAATTTTTCTAGTGGCCTATTACAAATTATTATTATTATGCTTATAGTTTTGTCCAGTGTGCTTATATATGCTGTTTATTTCTATAGAGTAATATTATGCTATATGTGATGGAGTAAAAATGTCTAAATGTTAAAAGTTTTGAAGTTTTCTTCTATTAAGTTTAAATGGAATTCAATATACTATTACAAAATATGTGTGCCTACTTTTTCCTCTTAATTAGTAACTTTTCGCTGAAAAATACTGATTACATCTTTCTTCCCATCTCATTAACAAAGCAGTTTCTCTGTAAATTTATTAATTTTTTTTAATTTCCTCATTTATTTTTAGATACATACCAGTTTTAAGACACTAAGATGCCTTTGTGATTAAGTGTAAAAAATCTTTTTAACAAAAAAACTAAAGTAATGAATAAAATGTTGACATATCTTTTTTTAACAAAAAAAATTATGTTCTATTCCTTTTCTGAGCTGAATTATTGAATGAAAATATCAAGCATTGAAGAGTTTTGGAGTTTTTAACTTTTTCTTTCCTGGTAAGGATAATATATTTGTGTTTTAAGCATAAACTTTCACGAGTTGCAAATTGAAGCAAAGTCATTGTTTTTGTAACTTTTCTGAACCAATTCAGTTAAAAATTACATAAATTACACATAAAAAGCATTTACGCGTAATATATCAAATGTAATTTGCTAAATTCTTGTTATTAGTAATTTTTTGTTAGAAAAATATGGCATTTTCATATATTATCAAGACCAAGAAAAAATCCTTTAAACAAATGCATTTTGCTAATATATAGAAATACAGGAGAGATAAAAGGCATTTACTTTTTTTCATTTACAAATTTTTTTACCTATCTTTTCATTATTTGAAAAATAAAAACAATCTGGTGTTTTGTTTGGTTTTACTTCAAGTGACTTAAAAAGCAAAACAAAATAATAGCTGCTCTTATACTTTAAGAATTAAATTTATGATTTTTAAAAAAAAAACTTTCTCACTGTGCTTAAACTGGTATTTTTTTAATTTAATTTTAATTCTTGATGCTTTCCTTTTTTATTTGTCCTTCTCTTTTCATTTGCACAGTAGACATAGTTTCTACCATTATTTATTGTTTAAACTCATTGCATAAAATTGTAAGTGTTTTTTGATTTTAACCCTAGATAATTATCAAATGTGTAATAGTCTACCGGCCCATTTTGTGAATTTAAGATGTTCCTGTTGCGCTCACACTACCTCACTCACAGTATCTTCATAACTGATAAAATGAATAATCTGAAAATGATAAACATGACTGTATGCTTGTTACATTTTGAGATTTGCTGTAATCGTTTTCTAACAGCTGAATGTTTAGTTCTGTCAAAATAAACATTGAAGATGTATCAAATATTGAAAAGCTAACAGAAGACACAACTAAAAGTGTGGTGAACAAATTAAGAAGTTGTACTTTCTCTATACCTGAGAAATTCAGAATGACAAAATATGTATGCAACTATTGCAACAAGGCTGTTTCTGGAGAACACTCTTTCAGCATTTGCTAAGAATTGCAAATGATAATTTTTACCAAATTTCTATTTTTGATTTAAACATTATAATACTTTTTGAGTTACGCTAATTTGTTTGAAATAAATTAAGAGAATATGCTTGTTTTTAATTTTAATTTACTAGTCGAATGTTTAGTTACAGATTTACATAGATTTAAGTTTAGTTGTTAAGGCTAAAGTTGCATCTGGATCTGGTGCAATCAAAATACACATGCTTTGTGTCTGACAAAGCCTCAGAAATTTTGAAAAATTATATAATTGTGTTTCAATAACTATGCAATGTAACATTCTCATCATAAAATCAGTCATTGAATTTTATAATATTTCCATGAAAGATAAGTGTGCAAAAAATAAAAATGTACAGGAGACTGTGTAAATGAAGAAAGTTTCAGATTTGAAATATGTACTTCTTTACAGATGCACACTGTCTCAAAAGTGATAAGAGAAAAGAAAAATAATTTATCCTTGAAAAGAAAATAAAGTCTGTAGTTAGGAGTTAACGAGATTTTCTTTTGTTATTAATGAATAATTTAATATATACTTTCGTGTAAATGTATTAGTTTTATTTTTTTTTTAATGAAAGCATGTTTTCATTAAAAAATATTTTTGTGATTGAAAAAATGTGTTGCACATTTCTCTCCCCTATTTTTATGTCTGTTATTAAAGGATAATTAATATTTTATACAGTGGGACCTGTTTATCTTGAATCTTACTGGAAAGGTAAAAAGTTTGAGATATAGAGGCTTCGAGTTATAGAGGTACTTTAAAGATTTCAATTTAATTAAGAAATTCTATTAAAAGATTCTATTATTTAATTAAGAAATTCTATTAAAAGATTCTAGTATTTAATTATTTAAAATTCTATTATTTAATTAAGAAATTCTATTAAATTTATTGCATTCTATTCTTGCAAATCTGGCACTGTATTTTTAGCGTCAACAGTTTCTTCTTCTTTCTTGATGCCTTCAACCTCTTATTCATCATCTTCACAGCTATTTTAAAACCATTTTGGATAATTTTTAGAGACACATATCTTCAAGCAGAACAGTCATTCTGATCAAGCACATTATTTTTGGAAGAGAACTTTTTTCATCAATTGGCATCTTCAAGTTCACTTACCAACTGTTTTCTATAGTTCACTTTAAAACTCTTATTTATGCTTTGATCCATTGGTTGCAATTTTGAGGTGAAATGAATTTTCTATTCCTTCTAATCTATGTTAAAAAGCTTGGTGGTCACTCCATCCTACTCATCAACCCCTCACTTACTGCCAGAATCATTGTATTCTTTTTAAGTAATGGAAGTGCAGAGAAAGGGATCAAAATTCTAAGAAACACCCCCTACCTGTTCATCTCTACTCCCTGTGGGTTCACAAAATTCATCTCCGTCTGCAAGTTCTACTGACAAAGAAAGTTATGTTGTTTGGACATTTCTGCTCTATTATTAGAAATTCGAAAAACGGAGGTTTTGGAAAAGATGCTCAATATAAACACGGAAAATACATTGATTTTAGATAGTAAATATAAGAAATTTTGAGATAAAGAGGTTCGAGATAAACAGGTTCAACTGTACTTGATTGCTAATTGTAAAAACATGAATTTACTTGTAAAACACATTTATCTAGTAACTGTTTAATGTTTTAACACATTTCGCATTTTGTTAACTGTACATTTTGAACTTATAAGTGTTGTTTTGTGGGAATTTTGTATAAAAAAAAATATCATATTTTATGTATTTCTATAATTTAATGAAAATTAAGTAAATAAAATGATTGCTGATTTATTCTTTTGATTTTTAATTTTAGTTACCGCATTATCTAAGTGTTTTCTTTTTTTAAAAATTACGTATTTAATTTTTTATCTAGGCTTTTTAGGCAGTTATAATAGCTTTTTTTATATGTTATTTCAAGAAAGCTCAATTTCTTACTAACATTATGTAATAAACTGTAAACCATAGCAGTCCAAACAGCTTATTGTAATGGGATAAAAAAAAGTCCAATTTTTTTTCCTGCATACCTTTCCATTGCTTAATACACAAAATTATTCCCTCTAATTTTATTTAATACAACGCTGCAATTTGAGCTGCTTACTTTGATTTTCATGATCTGTGATGTTGCATACAGGAATACCATTATGGATCATTAAACACAACTTTAAACTCACCTTATACATACAGGGCTCCCACTAAAGTTTGGAACCCTCTTTACTTACGAACTGCTTCAACTAAACTATAAAGTTGGTGTCCAGGTCTAGTAAAGAACTCATATGTTACTTGGTAAGACCCCCTTAGGGTCATCTTGTACAAAACAGAAGTATTAGCATATCTACCTTGAAATCGGATAAAAAGAATTAAATAATAAACTGTGGAGCGTCATCTCTTTAGTATGCATAAACATCTTGGAGATACTCAGAAAGGAAAAACATGCATTTATTTGTTCTTCATTTCCAATTGTAAGATGTGTAGAAACCAATCTTAAAAGGAGAAAAACAATAACTTTTCAACACATAAACATCTCGAAAGTCTTGAAATTAAAGTTATTTTTTAATATTAAGTTGTTGTTTTTTTCAATAAACTGTTTATGTTACCCTGTAAAAAATCTTGATTAAGCAACTATATATTTTAAGTGTTCCATTAATCTTATTAAATAGTCTTATTAAATCTTATCTCATAAATAGTATAAAGTCACAGTATTATAGCCAGACACCATTTTTTTTAGCAGTAGGCGGAACCAGTTTGTAAGTTCAGGGTTTTTTTCCATACTTTAGTTAGCATCCTATACATTAAAACCAGTTATTACAAAACACTGTCTATACTGATTATATTTTATTATCTAAAATCTAATTATTCCAAGAATAGATTTACTTAAAGTTATAAATTATTGTATTTGCTAATTTTATTAAAATCAATTATGTTAATATCAGAACTTTATTATAATAGTGTATGCTAATATCATAATTTTATTATAATATTAGCATGCCCAAATCTTGTAGCAATAAGAACAACTTAAACATTCATGTTCTAATACAGGCATCACAAATTTTTACTGACTCGAAAGTTTTATTTATTTTTTAAAAAAAGTAATTTTTACCAATAACAAAAAAAAAATTTATGCATTTTTATTTTTCTTCACAAGAACTTAAAACTCTGTTGATTATAACTAAAAGAATCGATTGTTTTTTACATTCATAAATGATATTCAAACGACTTTAAAAAAAAAAAAAAAGTATGTTTAGTTGTTTTGTGCCTATGAAAAAATATTTCAATTAAATGTGACTTGTAATATATTGTTTTAAAAGAGCAGTTGCCATAATTAAAATAACGTAAAATAATCAAACTGATTCTCTAAAAGATTGAACTACTATAAAAAGTAATGTTAAATATTTATTTCTCATTATTTAAAATATATATATATGCCCAAGTACAGTATAAATCCGCTATAACGACAATTCACAATAGTCGATGGAATTATGTGAGCTTGGCTTTATGAGTAAATACACATATTTATTATTAAAATAACAATAAAAAAAACTGAAAAATGAAATACACACACATACCTTGTTTATTTTGAGCTATTTTGTTTTCGTAGGTAGTTACTTTATTTACATCACACTAGAGCTGTATATTAGGCTATTTTATTTTATAACCGTTGTTGAACAGCTGACCCAATTTTAGACTCACAATAGGCTATTGGCGACGGTCTGGGAAACAACTCGGGGAATGGTCTGAAGACATACCACGCAATTTTGATCTTCTGCCAAAAGGATGGCTCCCCCGCTCTAGTAGCCCGAAGACCTGCTCTTGAAATCGAGCATTTTACAGTAGAACAAGCTTAACGAGGGCCGATACCTCGCATTCTTGGTCCCTACACAGACTGGTCAAAGTAGTCTTCCACCTGCTTACTGACCACAGACAGTGATGCTTGACTTTGGTGTTCTACTAGGAACCGTGTCTTTACGATCAGTCCACTGCGAGACTTGTTTTCTTAGGTCTGGTCACATAAAAAGTTTCAACTCGCATGAAATTGAGAGGACATGCCAAATTATTACTCAACCATCGAGTCTCCCTCTTATATCATTGATTGTCTTGGAGCTGATGAATGAAACAACTGATGAATGTGAAAGAGACTGTTTGGGACTGGTAGATGCGACATGATATTTCGGACTTTGTTGAGAGGTTTATACAAGCAATAAGCAGCAACAACTACACTGGTGTTCAAAATGAAGAGAATTTTTACGTTTGGTAAATTTTTTCCAGAACTACTAGACAGATTTTAATAAAATTTGATTTGAATATAGGTTGTTGATATAATACGAAAATTATCTATTCAACAGTTCTAATGCATGCGTATGATCGTGCGTAACACTCATCAGAGTCAGATGATATCAAAGAGTAGTTACAGAATTAAATGATAAAAATGTGTTATGCCCACCTCGTACAGATGGATATGTTAGGGTATGCGAAGTGACCAAAAATATTCATTGCAACTTCCCTGATCTTGTCTTAACGATTCGAATTCTTCTCGATAATGCAATATTTCCGGCGGTTCGACTTTCAGTGCTAAACGCTGGATGTATTGTTGGCCCACAATTTCACTGATTGAGTCTTAGTGATTCGAATTCCTTTGTAATACAATGTTCCCGTCCTTTCAACTCCCTGTACGAAGCACTGGGTGTATGCTCGAACTGCAATTTCGTTGATGTGTAGTGGTTGAAATTTCTCTCCAATGCAATGTTCTCGGCTGTTTGATTTCCCGTGCTAAATGCTTGGTGTATGATCGAACTACAATGTTGTTGATCTTGTGTAGTGGTTTGAATTTCTCTCTAATGCAATGCAATGTTCCCTGCTGTTCGATTTCTCGTGCTAAACGCTGGGTGTATGCTTGGAAAGCAATTTCGCTGATCGTGTCTTAACAATTCGAATTCCTCTCTAATGCAATGCTCCCGACTCTTTTTAGAGCGAAAAAAGTTTATGGAGCTTGGTGTAGAGCTCGAATGATGACTATCACTAAACTTCGACCTAAATTATAGTTGTGACGCGTGGATCATCATTAAGGATGACCCACGACCAAGACCGCCACTAATAGCTCATAAGTGAAACTCTAGTGCGACATTAGGAATCAAACCAAAATGTATCATTTTGCAAAGAAAAGTAATAACATACATCTTTTTACAGTTATTAATTCATATATTTATTATTACTCATAGATAAGCAGATTTGTTTTGTAAGTTGACTAGTGTCCTCAGAAAACTAAAGCACTAAAAGCAGAAAACTGAAATTTTTATGCAAATATAATAAAACTAACTGCTTTATCTTACCAAATTAAAATTCTTAAGACAAGAATTTTCTAAGATAAATAATTTTTTCGGAGGTAAAGAGGAGTCGTGATAACCTGGCTGGTAGGGTGTGGGGCCCATATCCAAGGGGTATGTTCGATTCCCGCCGGCCAAAGAATGGTTCCCCGTGTGTTAAATGGTGATCATGGTTACAAAGTCCTCCAAGTTCCCATAACAAATCAATACATCTAAGGATACTGAATCAGAGATTAATCATGTTCTGGTTCAGGTCAAAATTACGATCTGCGAATGAATGATGTGTGAATGTATATACATTCCCACATCATATAAAGCATCATAAGGATATCCTCCCTATAAAACGGAATGTGACCTATGTATGTTGTCTGTGGATCATTCTTAGAGATTTTCCCAGACCGTTGCCAATGGCCCATTGTGCAGCTCTAGTGTGACGTCAATAAAAGTTCCGAAAGAGTAAAGAGGTGAGTTTTCAAATGTACTTTTAGAAACTTTGCTAACATAGATGTTTGAAGACGTTGGTAGTCTATTTCATAAGCCCTAGTCCAAGTTGAAGAACTGATTGGCGATCGAAATGGGCTGCATGTGGCGTAGAGCAGAACTCTCTATGACAACACTTCACATGCTTTCCCCATTAGCTTGCGGAAAGTCATAGAGGAAGGAAGTACGTTAGTTTCTCTCGAAAATTTCATATAGATTAAAATCTTTTAAGTTGGAAAACTATATGGAACTGAAAATCACATTAAACATAGTTCGAAAGAAGAGTATTTAAAAAATATTTTTATTAAATAAAAAGGAAAAATTAAGAAAAGGGAGAATATCGTACTACATTCCTATGCAATTGAAAAGAGGGGGCTAAAGGCATGAAATCGGTCTCTCCCCAGATGGCGTATTCGAGTGTTGCGATCGCCAATAGCACACAATCCAAAATTAGTGTCTTCTCTCTCAAAGCACATAAGATTAAATAACATACATATGTATATGTACTCTTATATAAGAGTATGCTCGCTTTTATCTTATGTACTTTGTACATTTGTACAGATTCTCTTCATCATCCGTAACTTTACTCAGTTAAACGAAATACTCTCTGGCCGAGCTGTATCACCCACCAAACGCTGTGCAAAGCGTGCAAAGTAGATAGTTCGAATCTCATTGTTACCCTAGATGTATCTTCGTGCTGTCCTTCTCTTTATATGTCCCGTAGTGGACTGATCGTTAAGACACGGTTCCGATCAAATCACCGAAGTCAAGCATCACTTGCTGCGGTCAGTGTGCGGGTGGGTGACCACTTGGATCAGTCTGCGTAGGGACCGAGGATGTGCGGTATTGGTCCTCGTTAAATTGTGCTACCGTAAAGTGCTCGACTTCGCATGCAGGTCGTCGGGCTACCGAAGCGGGGGTGCCATCCCCTCTGCAGTGGATCAAAATTGTGATGGCATGTCTTCGGATCATCCTCAGGGATGTTTCCCAGACCGTCGCCAATAGCCCATTGTGCAGCTCTAGTGCGACGTAAATGAACAACAACAACAACAAC